GGCAGCCACGTTTCACTGCAGAGGTTTGATGTAAGGCGCATGGAAAACAATCTGGGATTGGTTGTGCAAAAATAGGCCTGAGAGCTTTAATCTACTCAGAGCTTTAAGTCTGAATGTATGGGAAATCATGTGGATGTAGATGAAGGGGAATCTTTAGTGATTACATGGCATTAACACAAGTTTTTTTTCATTCTAATGACAATGCAAAGTGTCAGGGACTCTGTGAGGCTGTACTTAGACATTGTCGTGCTTTCAGCTAAAGCTTAACATGCTCAAACTGACAATGCTCACATGTTGATGTTTAGCAGCTGTAGGTTCGTTGTAGCTTAGCATGGTAGCATGTTAACAGTTTCCAATTTGCATTTAACAATAAGAAAAGCTAAGGTTGATGGAGATGATATATGTATAGCAGATTTGTGGATATAAATTAAAGAAATAAACAAATTATAAAAATAATACATCTACTTTTGATGTTTGGATACATGTATATGTTGAATGGAAATAATACACAATAGTATATTGAATTAGCCCATGTCCACAGCAGGGAGAGTAGTTGTGACTTGTTTATCGACCCAGATCATGTTCCTATTGTTCTTTTAGTTGAAATAGTGCTGTGATTCTCTTCATCTCTGACAAATGTGCCAATGGTTTCACCAGGGACTTGAAATAAGGCTAATAATAATGAACGTTGCTGCAGAATCTAGGTTACGCTCGTGTGATTTTGGTATTGAGTGCATCATGAAAGGCCTGCAGGTAATCTGCAAGACTAGAGGACAGGAGCCTTGTGCCCAATGAAATAAAGAACATGGATTTTGGCTGTGTTTAATACTCTTCTTGACTTAATAAACCTGGCTTTAGCCTCATTTATAATGCAATCTAACTAGGTTAACTGCTCTGATTTTATAATCTCAGCCAACCTTCACATGGAAGGATCCTCATGTAGCCAAAAGGATCACAAATGTTTTCCACACTAACGGGAAATTGCTATTTTTACACAGAGAACTGGGTGTGCAATTGTGTCAACTGGGTCAGAATAATTAATTATGGTCACTGGCCATTTCTCTGCAGACAAGCCTGGCTGCAGACTACTGATTGAAGTAGCAACTGCTTTGTTAATGGGGTTCAATTAAAGACAACGTTGAACTCTACCAATTTCAAAGGCTGTGTCCTAAATTTAAATACATTTTATACTAAACGAAAATGAGTCGTTTGTGTCAATCAGACTGTGTCTTTGGAACTGATTTGATGTTTTCCTTTGAGCATAGTTAGGGTTGCCTCGAAAGAAGTGCATACACTTCTGCAAAGCTTTTAAAGTAATAAAGTAAAATGAATCATTATATATTATATCATGAGACTTTTCATAGTGCTTCAGAAATGTAATTACATTGGCAGCTAGTCTTTAGGACAAATGAAAAAGATGATCCGACAATTCAGTTGTTTACTGTCTTTACTTTTCACAGTAATGAGACATTTATTTAAAAAATATCTTTTGGAGTTTGTGAAACAGCCTGCTAACCATGAAATGTAATGTTAGTGTCTGCAAAATGTAGGCAGATTCTTACAATAAACAACAAAAGAAGCCTGCAAACACAGAAGATGTTGCAATAAGTTGAAATCTCCCTTACACGCTCTCTTAAATGAACACTGCAGGCCATGCAGAAGAAACTAAAACATGTAGCAACTATCCAATAAAAACGATGTGTCACTCAAACAAGAACAGACCTTTTCCATTGTGAGCCTGCAGGCTATAAAGCACTGATCAGAGCATTCTTGTTTTCTGAATGTGGTGGAAACTGGCAACATCTCAGAATCATGTCATGAAGTAGGAACTCTGTATTACAGTGATGCTATATCTTGCTGTTTTCTTGCAGGAGAAATAAAGGCTCAAAGGCAGGAAACATACACAAACACACACATGGCAGACTGGCCATGAAAGCAAAAAGGCGGCGCATGTTTACGCCAGCATTTAAGGGTGGGAACGACACAGAGTATGAGGTAGCCTAAATAAAGAAGACATGGAAACCACACGGCCAGAAAAGCCCTAGTCTCAGCTATCAGAGGCAGCAGCTCGTGACACCACAAAGCCAGCAGACGACCAAACGCCCTGCTCCATCCCAGGTCCCGTATCATGACACACATATAGGTCAGCAGTGCTAAAGCATCTGCAAATCTGCAGATTATCTCTGCCGGGGTTTTTCATGCTCTAATCAGAATAAATCCCCTGAAGTGGGGTTCAATCTTTAGTGGAATACCAGTTTGACCTACAGATCTGAAATGAGTGATGCAGGGATGAGTCCTAGCATTTTGACACTTTGTTTCCTTATTCTCAAAGTCAATTGTTATTGAATGTTTGACTGTTTTTTTGGACATAAGGTTGGTAGCTAATACAAGCTTCCAAGATTTGTACACTTTGTTCTACGACATAAAATAAGTACATACCTAAATGGCACACACCCAGTTAAAACCCAGCGTAAAAATAGACATTTCCCGTAGTGTGGAAAACATTTGTGACTAAATGAGACATAATAACGCCAAACATTAGCCGCCTTTAGCTTATTGGTGGTGATGTGAAGTCATGTGACCGTTTATTTAAAAAGGTTGTGTAGATTATCCTGCTGAACAAAGACGTGTTAGGTATTAACAAGTGTTTGCCAAAGATCTTATATATATAGGGCAAAATGTTATTGTTTGTATGCATTTCTAAATGTGTGTTTGCATGAAAAAAATCAGTTAAAAATGTATTCAGCACGCAGGGAGAGGGAATACAGACGTATAAAACCCCTAAGCAAGCATTTCCCGCAGTTGGAAGTGATTATTAAAGCCGCAGGGGCCGCCTTTACTGCTCCACTGCTGGGCCTGCACTTTGTTTACTAAGGTAGCTACGAGCCAGCCACGCCTGCAGTAACTATGGCGGGGCCAGCAGCTTACTTGCCTGATCCGGCCTCAGTCTTGATTTGAGATGATTTATCACATATGCAGGAATTCATAATTGATAGTCCCTCAGGGTGCTTAGTGTGACAACGAGTTACCGAGGAGAAAGAGGGCACGTTTAAAAATAGCCAGGACACCAACCATGGTCTCATCCATTATTAAACACAGCGCAGGGCTCTGATATGACATCCATTATGCCATTTCACACAATGTGGATTAAAACTGAATAAAACGTCTACTATTACACAACATATAGAATGTGCTCCACTATACTTGGAAGAAGAGTACCACTTGAGACTCTATGAAAACGTATCCTTCATCGACAAAACACTTCCTCCATCCTTTTGGATTCAATTCATGCATCACAGCTCAACCCAAGGCCAGCCAACCTGCTTTTTCCTAGGAGAAATCTGAGCCGTTGACAAAATTATTTGATGGCTAGTATACTATATATATATTTGCTTTTACCATACCAGCCTGTCAGTCTCCATGTCAAATGGGCAGGGGAAACAGCTGCACCATAAGTATACAGTCTAAAATAGAGGGACAGCAGAAGTACTTTCACACAGAAGTACTATTACAGGCACATAATGGGACCCAGATGCATACCTTGTGATCTGAAAGTACAAAGTTTAAACCTTTAAGTACGGATTTCTGCTAATACGGTCTGAATTTAATGAACAGTTGCCCCAATAACTTAAAGGGACATTTGTTTACTTGTCATGGGTAGTGCGACTAAGCATCTGAAAACCATTATGTCATCACTCAACTTGACTTTGAGACTAAATAATATAAAACAGGAAACCTATGTTACAAATAGGAGGTGTAGAGTTTGATGAGAGTAACTGAAAGATAGGGACACCCTGCAAATGCAAGGGATTTGATCAATAGGCCCAATCACAACTGTTTTGCCTTATTTTAGTGACGTTTTTAGTCTGAAATGTCTTCGTAGCATAATGCCTCCAATTAAGCCCTATTGAAAACAATTATCACTGATCATTGGAGGAAGGCTGGTGAAGGATAATGAGATTTTGGTAATTTGCTACTGGTAATCTGCCTCCTGTATACAATCCCTTGGCAAGAGCAGCCAGAGTGAACCAATACAACATTGGAGAAACATGTAAAATGCACAAAACATATTTTGAATAGTTCAAACATTAGTTAATTCAATGCAATATTGACACGCCCGTCATTTATTTCAACTAAAAGTATAACATCTGCTCCACTTGGCTTCTTAGCCCATTGCTTCACTGCACTAAGAAGTCAATGATGCACAGTATGAGTGTAACATGATGAGCCATGCCCAGGCCCAATACAAACTCATTAGCACTAAACAGATCTCTTGAACACTGGTCATGTGACAACAGGCCTTTGAAAGAAACCTGCAGTCTCAGCCATACATTATATCAGCTAGTAAAGTTTCATTCTACTGAATTTATACTTCACCTTAAGTGTGCTGGCACTGTTTTAAACTGATGTTAGGATACACAGACCATGTCAATATAACTTGACAGTTGAGGTGGGTTTGATGTCTCCCAGGTCTCAATATAACTGAGACTAAACTGTCGGCGTAGTTTCATGACTTTATTAGAAGATCAGTGAGCGCACTGGGACCATGGAGAGAGACAGCAGCCATTACTCAGCTGTGTCTGTCGAACCTATCTGGTTGCAAGTTGCACCTGGGGGGTTCAGGTGACAGGATGAATTAAAGAAGTATGCAGGCATTTGTGTGTGTGTGTGTGTGTGTGTGTGTGTGTGTGTGTGTGTGTGTGTGTGTGTGTGTGTGTGTGTGTGTGTGTGTGTGTGTGTGTGTGTGTGTGTTGTCCCTCCAGAGCTGGAGGTGTATATTTCAGTTACCTGGCAACTCCTTTGAGAAAGTTGTAACAAAAGACACCCTGCAGAAAATGCACCACAAGTGTCACCATAACTATACAAGTAATTGTCTTAAAATAAATGATGTTATTCTGCTTATAAATTAAGAGACTAGGGTTACAGACGCCATAGTTAGCAAGCACCTGCATGCAGTCTTCTTGTGAGTGCATAACAGACGGCGGAGTTTTTTCTCTTACCATCAAAACTGACGTCCTCACAGCCTCGGAGACGCTCTGCCTCAGCTCTGCGGCGGTGCCCGGTTTGTTGAGCCCCCGGGCAAACTTCCTTGCCTCAGGTGGAGCAGAAGCCATAATATATCCCACCTTTCATCAGACAGTCCGGTACTGAGGAGATCAGACTTGGAGGGCTGTTCCAAGCGGCGGTACGAAGGTTAAAATCCTGCGCTCCAGGCTGTCCGACGTGCGTAAATGCACACTGGCGCTGTGTTATCCGGACATCACGCTTGTCTCCAACTTTACATTAGCACCGTCATAACTGTATTGGAAACAGTAGTCCAGAAGATGACTTTCCTTGTCAACTGCAATCCGAGAGCACCATCCAAAGCCTACGCTCTGTCCCGTCGGCGGAGGTCCCTTGCGCAAAATGGCACGCCCCCCTTCCCAGTGTAATAATGCCCCGTGGGATAGGAATGAAAACTAAGTCGTCCATCATATTTGGAGGATATACGGAGGGGCTAATAAGTGCCACTCATGACTGCATAGAATAGGTGATATACTATATAACGAGACTGCATTAACTCTACTTTGTGGCCACTTTATGATATTGTCCATATTCTGCAATACTGTTTCCATAATAATAGTAGGGAATATTAAAGCAATTTAAACAAATTGATGGCTACATTGTGTACCAATACAAGATGCATAAAGTATTTCAGCTGCAATAAAAAGTATGTTGAGGTTATATAACTACAGACTGCACACTGCTCTGCCGTAGGCCCAGGCTTACATTGCCACCTGCTGGAATAATTATTCTTTTAACTATACAGTCTCTGCTTGGGGCTTTAAACTCTGTATAAAGTTATTTGACCACGCGGGGGCAGTAAAGTAACACTAATACTTGTTTTAACCAATAAAGCCTTTATCTGCTATTGCAATACTAACTTAGAAACATTCAAATATCCATGTAAATAATAATAATACTTGATATGTTTTGTTGTGTTATTATTGTAAAGCTTATGTAGCCTATGTGCATATGTTGCCCAGTGATGTAGCCTATATCCCATGTTTTTGCAATAATTAATGTATTTCCAATAATAAATGGTTATGCAAATTACTGCAGGAGTTACATACCATTACCGACATGTTGCATTTAGATTGTCTATGTTGTTTTATGATGTCAATCTAAGCTAAGCTCTACAGTGTTTACAACAAATAGAACACGGAAGGACTTTGCAGCCTAATGCCTAAATGCAGCATATGTTTCCAGGTTGTTATATCCACAGTCTGCGGCACAGCGGCGCTGCACCACCCCTCCTGACTGTAGGACTGTCCTCCACCCCCAACACCACCCCCAAAAGCAACCTGATACCGGAGACGAGCGGTCCAGACAAGCCTGCAAACGAGGCGTTCCCCGCCGCCCTGCCTGTCTGTCTGCCCAGCGGAGCTCCAGACCGTCAATGCCAAACGCTACTGACTGCCTAGGGGAAGATCCGAGCCAGAGATATCCAACCCCTAACCCCGTCGTCTGCCACATCGGGAGTACGGATCTCCGTCTATCGCAACCCAGAAGAAGATCACTGTTGGCGCCGTTGACTTGTGACTGATCCCCCCTCCCCTACAACGAACGGGACCCGGAGAACTAACTGGCTAGCTGTTAGGCTAACATCGGTTAGCGTCGATAGCAGTCAGCTTGCAACCGAACCGAGCTAATTGGCTAACGTTTAAATGCCAAATGTTCACCTCTCGTGCGAAAGGGTGGACTATTTTTTTAAAAACGTACAACTGAGAATGGCCTGTACGTACTAATTTTAGTTGTGCATCGGTTCTTTTTGCGATATTTATCTTCTTTGCCTAAGTTTTCTAGTACCAGACAGTAGCCCTAGGCAGCTAGCATGTCAGCTAGCAGATATGGACGTTGTTGGCTGGCTCGTTGCAGATGGCAGATCAGCCAAACAAGTTAGCTTCTCGGTGTATCTGTCCGGGCTGTGCGGGAGTCGATAGCAGGACCAACTTTTATTGACATTAAATGTTAGTTATAAAATCACGACAATCGACTCCAACACGACTTTGCCTCTTTTTTGGATCATTTTTCTATGTGTTGTTCCATGCCTGAGAGATCAGTTCAAGTTATTGAGCTGACGTGAGGAGAAGAGTGTGAAAACAAAGTGGTATCTGCAAAAATAAGAGGAGCAGAAGAAGTATAACGAGACTTGAAGGAGCAGCAACTACGAGACTACACTGTCATGGCTGTGAGCCGAATCACGATGAAATCACTCGCTAAATATGGGTTTTGCCTGACGATTCTCCTGACTTCTGTGGCTGGTAAGTGGCTAAATAGTGAATTGATTTTTGTGGAAAGAGGTAAATGTGCTTCTCGTGAATATATGATGCTTTCCTTTTGGTTCTGCTATTAGATTTTGACCAAATGGCAGGTTTGGTGCAGATTTTGTAGCCTGAATAATATGATCTAATCAACCTAAATTAAATGTTTTGAGTCTAGTGTTGATTATATGTATGTATTTATTTGTTGTATTATAATATAGACAGTTAGCCTTAACATCAGACACCATTTTCCAAAATATCTCCTCCCAATGTTTTTTATGTGTCTGGAAGATCAGCCTGTTTGTCTGTCTGTCCCTTAACTATCCTTTCCATCTTGTTGTCTGTCTGGCTCATATCTGGAGTGATCTCTGTAGTTGATCTCAATGTAGTTGAGTAAACCTTCATAGATATCTCTTCTTGAACAGAGTAGCAAGTGTACCCCTGGCTCCTTTTTAATCATTCTGTGTACAAAGGCCTGGAAAAACACTGCCAAACATACCGCAGTCCTTGTCTGCCAAGTTGTGCCCCTGTTTAAGACTTTGGGCTTAAGCCAGGCTTCTGTGAGACCTTGAGCGTGATAAGATAGTAGCTGTGCTGCATAGAGATGTTGGAACTGTGAATGTGAGGGGGGTGAAAGGTGGAATGTGTGGGAAGACAGGAAAGGTATTTTACAAGATGGGTAATTTAGGTTGTAGAAGTTCAACATGGTGCTTAGGCTCTGGCAGTGTGTTTGGAAATAGGAGGTATTTTCTCATCGTTACAGCCGAATGCGTGGGTGTGAATGTGTGTATAAACAGCTTCTTAATAATGTATTGTGAGTGTGTTTTATTGTTAAAGGCCCTCCACCCATTCACAGACAGGAAGCCCAAGATAATGTGTGCAGTGGAGAGAAATATGTGAGAGTGGCACAATTTCAACACAATGTGCAGAGAGACCCCATTTGCATTTAACTGACAAGTGGGAGTCTGATTATTTGTAATCCACATTTAAATAAAATGACAAAAATGGACTGCAATTCTGAATGTTACAATGTGCAGACAGTATTTCTGACATCCTCTGATTACGAGCTCATACATCAGGATAGAAAAAGCACGCTGCTTTTAGTGACATTTAGAGAAACTAAAGTAGATGAGTAAGGAAGCGAGGTGATTCAGCGAAGAGAGTGGGACATGATGCATTTACTGGAGGGATGTGTTGTCAGTTTGTGACGTATGATCAGTAACGAGGAGGCAGTGGAAAATGCTGAGTGCAATTTTCATCCCAAATCATAATATTCAGCAACATGTACAAATGTAATCTATCATGTCAGCATGTGCGCTGAAAGAATCTTATTGCCTTGCTAAACTCACCTTTTATGAGACATGGCATGCAAATTAGTTTTTCCCTGGAGCGCTTTAACGACTACAGTGACTGACAGAGGATTGACATATTCACTCAATAATCAGCACAAGCGATTAATGGATACTTGTATGCATGCGTGTCATGTAAACAGCCAATAAATTCAAAGCGCAGCACCGTGCAAAATGAATTAGGGCAGCCGTCAGACATTGTTGGCATAATGACTGTAAAGAGACAAATGAATGCAAAGTGGTTATATCGCAGTGCCAATTTATTTCCATGATACTTGTTATGATGGTAATAGGAGGTAGTAAAGTATCTAATCAGCTGGAGGTCTGACCCTACACTTTTCCCTTTGAGCCCAATGTTATTGCCCCCATCACCCCCCTTTCCAATCTCAGGAAATTACCTCAGTTAATTTCCTTTTCAGATGTATTTATTTCCCTACACCTTCCTTGTGTTTAACCTGTTCCCAGCTGCTCTTCCGTTCCCTGTCCCCTGTGACTAATCAGTGTGTGGGTGTACGCTTGATGCTCCAAAATCCGGAATAGAAGCGGTTCCAAACACGGCACAAGCTGGCAGAAGATACCTGCCGCGCAACCACAGGTGTTCTTAAGTAATGACATTAGAACGGGATAGACTTTAGCACAAATTCTTATGGAGTAAAGTTTAACGTTGTAGCCCGTGCATGCTCATAATGTATTCATCTTACATTCATGCACTATTGTCCCAGGTAAGCTTGAGGTTTGGGGTTCCAAAAAGGATTATAGCAGAAGTATTATCCCTCAGCATAAAAAGGGCTGCTCATTGGCTCCGCTTGTCCAAACTCTGTAGCTATGTCTCGTGGGCCCCATACTGCAGCATTGACAGGCCCACTGTTCCCCAACCAGGCCGCTTCTCTCAAACCTCTCCGGCCAACGGGGGACTCTTGAAGCTGTCAGCTCTGTGGTCACATCAGCGGCTCAATAGAAAGGGAAGTTATTGGCTGGAGATTACAGACTTGCCCTCAGTGGCTGTGAGGCTCTTTTATTGCCAAGGCTAGCTCAGATTGGAGCCTACAACATTGTGTGGAGCCAGGTACTAACTGCTGTTAGCCCTGGCATTTAATCTGGGATTTGGGACATGTGAATGCATCAGAATAGTTTAAATGCCAAGTGAAATACATGCTCAGGAATTTTCCCTTTATGATATTATAGCAGATACAATTTGTAAACTAGCAAAGAAAAAGGCTGTAATAGTGTAATATGGAATGTCACTTAAGACACTTTATTTTGAACACTTTATGTTAATGTGTGTGTTTCAATTAAAAGCAATGATTTTGCCGAAAGCCATGGAGGCCCACACTACCAAGCTGCATCACCTTTAGCACTGAAGCTAATCTGCTGAATGTGCATTATGGTCTGTTGTAGATGTGGGAATTGAATGCAGCATCCACAAGGTAAACAACAGGATAGTAAATGGGTAAAGTAGCTCGTAAAATGTTAAAATCAGTTGTAAAACTGCCAGGGAACCAGTGTTTGGGAGCCAAAATAGTGGTAATATAATGATGCGTACCTATTCGGAGCCAACATTTTGGCATCTGTATTATCACAACTGGAGGAGTGCAATTTATACAGGAGAATAAGGAAGTAGTTGCAGGCGCCAGAGGATATAAAAGCATTATGCCTACTTTGATGCCTTAATATTTAGCACTCAGTCCACAATCATTATTTCGTGAGAAGAGATGACACTGACTGCAGCAAGAAACAGACCAATGAATGCTGGAATGGTGGGGGTAGGAGGCCATTTGGGCTATAATACAGCTAGCATTGTACTCTATTAGATGAACAAAATCAATGTCTGCCTCTCTTAGTACCTTGGTTTGAGTTCTGAGCAGAGGTAAAAGCAAAAGCAGATACAATAGAACAGTGTTCAGCCGACCTTCTGGTTTGGCAAAAAGGAGAAATTAGTGGATGTTTTAGAAAACAAAAGGTGCAGCCTTGAGATGGTAACTCAGAGTGACAGCCTATGATTAACACGAAGCGTTCTCCTTGACTAGCAGAGACAATAAGTCTAGAGCGCGCAAAACATATTGCTCAGAGTATGGATGAACTGTTTTGCTTAAAGTTATTTGTATTTTAATGGATATAAGCTTTTAAAAGAAGGGTAGCATACTTGTTTGCAACTGCAAGGCTTTAAGGTGATACAGGTCTTGTTTTTGTTATCTCTAGTAGCTTGGATGCCACATTTGAGGATGTTTTTCTGTCTTTTTAGTTGTTCCCTTTATCTTAGGCCAAAAATGTCTTTATTCACAAGAGCTTATTACAGTCGCAGCAACAGAAGAAGGTGCAGTTTTCTAGATCCTAGTATCATACTGCTGAAAAGTACCGGTTTTAGAACAATTTTTGCACTTTCAGCATTCCTCTGAGAAGCATTCCAAAAAGAAAAATGAGTGGGAGAGCAGAAGATGGCTTTGGATAAATTAGTAAAATGATTCTTCTAAATAATCTCAAACCCCGGTGAGATGTTTTTGTTTTCTGCTGGCACAGTGGGCACTGGAATTAAGAGAAGCACTGCAGCCAAAGTGCTGTACTGCAGTGGCTTGTAACGTATCATTCAACATACACAGAATATATATTGATACCAACAGCAATAAGAATATAGTCATTTAGTATATCGAGTGTTAGGAAATAATGTGTTGATGTTCTTTACTAATATATTAGGCCCAATGTGGTCTACAATCAGACAGAAGGCATGAAAAGTTCTATTTTTAAAACACCACGTCTATGTTTGCAATGCCATAACAGCACCAGTTAGATCAGGTGAAACCCTGTCATACCAGACAACCACAGGCAGTGGAGCTTGTCAAAATACTATGTATGTAATGTAGACCATCAAGCCTATAGAAGCTGTTAATTTATTTATTTATTTATTATTATGTTATATATAGAGACTAAATTCAGATGCAGATTGGAACTAAACTTTTGCTTGCTCATAAATAATCCTAGATTATCCGCCCCATGGTGTGATGGTAAACACCACCTCGGTCATTCTGTCATCTGTGTGTTCATCACATAATCGGGAAAGTTGAGGTATACAGGGAGGGGTGTATATTTGGTAGAAATGCATCGTGGTCAATAATGGAGGCCTTTAAGCTTTGAGGGTAGTTTAAGCCCCAGGATTAGCATAACTGTACCAGACCCAGACAGACACAGACTGAGTGGTGGTGTTTTTCAGGGGGGTGTGCAGTCCCGAGGCAACAGATGGGACAGATTAAAGCACACTCAGCTCCTCACCCCCCCCCCCCACACACATCTTTAAAATCAACCAGGAGACTTGAAATTGTGGTTGTCAGCAAATACCCCTGTATCTCTTCCATCCTACCTCAGCAACAAGCATGCACCCAAACAGCAGGTACCATCAGGGCTGTGCTTCTGATGGATGTCCGTGTGCAGCAGCTTGAACTCACGCGATGATAAAAACCCAGTGCATGTGGGCATACATAGTGCCTCTTTGCATTTTGTGTATGCACAAGTCGTGGCGCAAATCTACAGGGTGGCAAAAGTAAATACCAAGGAGACAATTTAAATGCATACATTTTAGCACAGAATCAGCATTGTACAAGGACTATACATCATGCCAAGTGTCCCCATCAAGCAGGACAGCACAGCTTGCATAATGCTGCGCCTGTGGACAGTGCACTCATGTCTGCAGGGTAGTTGGTGCGCGCACGGGTGCATCAAGCACGTTTCCCCCTAAAGACAAGAATGCCTCCTGCTTCTTGCTGCCCCTCCCATCCCGTGTTTCTGCCTCTAATGTTGAACTCGGAACCAGTCGTTGAGAGAACACAGCCAACACATCAGTGCACTCTGTGACTTTTAATCAAGTCTAAGACTGCCGTGTCTTGCATCTCTCCAATGGGCCTTGGCAGTAGGAAGGAGAGAGCCAGATTAGATCGCTGTTGTTTTTTAGCAGAGAGGGGAAGGGGGTAGTCTGTGGGGGTGGGAGGGTGCACCGAAGGCCAATTGGGGGAGGAGGCTTAGAGGGGGGAGAGAGATTAGCAAATAACTGGGCCATGGGTAAACTCTCAACAGTGCCCGCCATCATCCAATGAACAGGCTTGGAGCAGAAAACTACTCTGAAGCCTTTTGATATGACTACCCTCTCTCTCCCTCTCTTTTCATCTGCCTCGCTCCACTGGCCTTGCCTGCATACTCTGACCCACAATCCAATACTGCAGTGGAAGCCAAAATCACACAGCCGGCTCCACAGAGCAGAACCAGGGACAGAGCCTGCCACGGCCAATCAGAGATACACGCAGAGATTGGCTTCCAACCAGAAACGCTCCTAAGACAGAATTAATGCAAAGAACCAACCACAGTGCGGCAGAGTGGCAGACACACCAATGAAATCTGACTACATGAGTGCTCCCATGGCTCAGACTGCAAGTGGGCAAAATATTCGTCCCATGATACACTGTCTTTCTTCTCTGTTCACTTTTTGGGTGAATTAGGGAATAAATATATTTCAGACGGTGAATAGCCCCTTTTATAATAAGAATCAGGAGGATGTGAAAATAAAAGAAGTCGTCTGAGCTCTCAATTTATAGTGTGCACGTTTGTTACGCGCACCATGGAGCGATTATCTTTTATTATCAGGGTACGTGACATCTATTTAGTAGTACTCGTATGGATGCATTGCTTTCTTGAATTGTATTAATGTAACACAATGTATTGAAAACAGCCCTTTCCCTTGTTATAATAAAGCGCACAATTCAATCATCCTTGTGAATGAAAACCCCAAATCTATTTCTTAAATGAACTTGGGACCTTTTAGCATTAGTTTCAGTTGTTTTCATGCCAAAGAGCTCTCATATACCAAAGATTTTTCATAGGGTATTATTTCACAGCCTTGAATAGTAGTACAATTATTAATAATTCATGTCAGCATACAGTATCTACCCAGCTTTGGGAGAGAGACAGGAGATACTCTGCACTATAGATTTTTGTGCTCCGATCCTGGCGTGCAAGGTCAGTCTGTTTGTCTAACTGTCTGAGGGTGTTGTCACCGGTTATGCACTTCCTTTGATTGTTCCTTTAAGTTTTGCTAGAGTTCCTCCTCTACAACTCCTTTCCTCAACTCCACAGCCCTCTCTCCTCGATTTCTGGTTCTGGGAAATAAGACAGGAAGTGTATTCGAGGCGGAAAAGATCATTGTTGAGGTTGCGATTATCTTAGGACTGTGCTTTTTCACAAATTGTTTGATAGCAGCTACCTCTGTAAAAGATACAAGAGATTGAGTCAGAGTCAATTAAAGTGCATAGCCTCTTAAACGTACCTAAATTGCTGAATTTAAGAATGTAAAAGTTAAAGCCTTTGACACCCACCCCTTTGTATTATTCATTATTCAAGAAGAGGAGTGTTGTTTTCTTTTGATCAGTTATCCCTCTGCAGCAAGTTGTATAATTTGAATGAATATCTGGCCCTTGTGTCTCCCCTGTAATGTTCTGCTGTAGGCTAATGGTAGAGCTAATGGTCATTGTGGAAAATCATGGTTCACTAAGATCCGTTATTTCTCACATGAGCTAAAGGTGACTTTGGGCTGAAAAAGAAATTCAGCTCTAGGTCTTAACGATTGCTTTTCCCTATCATCTGCCCACTATTTATTTCATGCTTAGTCTGTGGTTAGTAATGTTTTTATAGCTATTAGTATGATAAAATTAGAACATGCCCTTACGAAATCCACATGACCCACTCTTCACATTGGCATTAATAAGATCTACCGCACAGCATGTAATTCAAAAAGAGAACACTTTTTTAATGCTGGTATGCTGGTTATTTCCTAGTTCTGAAACAGTGGGGAACAATATCAAGGGCGAATTTCTGCAGTTGAGTTTCATTAAAACTAAATGATTACTGTTTGTGTTAACTCAATGCCAAATTAATCAGAGGCAAAAATTGCATCCTACATTTCGGTTTGGAATTGAAATCATGTCAAACCCTAGCTACATACAGAGGGGATGAAATGCGTAAAAAGCCGAACTTCTACTTGTGCCCACCGCAGTACATGGGCCACAACCTCTAACAACTGAGTCAACGGCGGCCCTTTGTTTTCATTTGAACCCAGAGCATGTTAATGTGCTGTGAATAAATGCAAGTAGAGAATCATCTGTCTCGTGAATCTAAACACAGGCCGTGGCAGTGGCCTTGTCGGCTTGTTGAAATTCAGTTTCCTCCTCAAAACAAAAATTCCTCCACATACTTAACCCTTAGTTTGAACTCCTTTCCCACTCTACATGTACACGGTGTGCTTCCCCCTGTAGGCGAAGTGAGTCCCACAGAACAGTAGACAGTGCAGGCCCACAGGTTGAGGGCAGCCGTGGCCCACAGTAGGCCAGGGTTGCTATCTTTTATCTGAGGATGGGAGCAGAGAAGGAAAGTTGGCGCCCTGCCCAGCAGAGCAACCACTCCATCGCAGCGTCACCCCTCTGCCCACACAGGCCAGCTTGACATTGGGCAGGGCACAGTCACCCCAACCCCCTTCCCGGATGGAGGAAAGGGAGGAGCTGGGAGTTAAGGGAAACAAACCGGCACATCATGTTTCCCTTATCAGAAATTACCCGGACTGAGGCTATGTACACAAACCCCCATTGGCTCAAACTATTTCTTCCTGGAATAGTTTACACTCTCCCAGACGTTTGCTGCAAATCAACAAGCAAACTGTCCGTTACACAACTGTTCACATTCTGGCTATCCTTTTCACTAGAATCACACCATCTGAAATTCATCCATTATTTCCGAACACCCAACAAACAATGGCTGTGTGCTGTAATGCATTAATTTAATTCAAGGTGGGAGCTTTAACATGCATGTCAAACATCCATCTATCATTTTCTGATAATTATTTTTCTCATCTTGCTGTTTTAGTTTTGAAATGTCCACTTTGTTTCCGTGCCTCTGCTTGTGTTTGTGTTATGTCCTTCAGGCTAGAGTTTAAATTGGTATCTCTATTGATCTTCGCCTGCAAAGACTGCTGCCTCTCACACGCCAGACAGCTATTTCTCAGCTGTAGATTCTTCTCGTATAGACAGATACTGTGTAGCAGCACTTTATTAGAAAAGGGCTGATGTGAGGGACTTTCATCCACATCTCACAGTTTTCATCGAAAATGTGCATATCAGCAAGTTTTTCATCCGAAGAATGAGAGAATAATCGTTGAAAATTAATGAAGCTGTTGCGTTGTCTGTTGCTCATTAACACAAAATTGACAAACTGCCTTAGAAATAAATGTGCTTGCCTCTTGTCATCCACCTATTTAATTTACATTGTGCGACTGCAAAACCTACCTCTTATTTGCCTCCTCTGTCTCCTCACAGCGGCGCAGGAAGAGGAGAGGGAGTGTGCCTTCACTGACCAGCAGCAGCAGTGGGAGACGGACCGAGTGGCCGGGAGCGAAGGCCGCGTCTCCCCAGAGAACACCACCATCCGATGTGCCAAGGGCAGCCATTGCTTTGGTCTGTGGAAGAAAAGTCCTCCAGGCGAAGTGCGACTGGTCAAACAAGGTAGGACTTGTGTGACGCTTCGGGCAAATTGCGAAAACTGTCGAGAGTAGAAATAAATTCAATTCAATTTATAGTAAACATATATAAGTAGTTATTGGTTATATCAGAATTTGTATTTTTATGGAATTATAATGTGGAGGAAAAAATGGGGCAAGCATAAATAGTAATCTAATTGTTATTTTTTGGTTTTTATTTTCAGCTAGCAACACCATCTGTCAACTCCTCAACTGGCAAAAAAAAAAAAGATTAATTATGTATTTTATGTTGCAGCTGGTAAAAGCTGAGTTCATTTCAGCTACTTTATCAACTACTGGATAGTGTCGTCTATAATAACACAACATCATTTCCTTTTCATTTATATTGTATAATTACACAATGTAACTATCACGTAAACTAGGCGATAAAAAAGGTGCAATATTTGCCCCTGAAAGATGCATAAAAATCATTAAAAGGAAAAATGTACAAATTACTTAATTTTACTCAAGTAGAGTATTTAAGTAAATGCACTTACTTGATTTAATATCTGAGACGTGATCTTGGTGATAAAACAGAAGTAGGTAATATCATTAACATCATTATCTGTATCCTCAGGTTGCTGGTCTTACCTGGATGACCCCCTAGGTTGCCGTGACGACCGCTGCGTGGTGACCAACCTCCCTCCGCAGATGCAGAATGGGACGTACCTCTTCTGCTGCTGTGGCAGCGACATGTGCAACGTCAACTTCACGGAGGACTTCCCTCCGCCCAGCCCCACCACGCCACAGCCCATATGTAAGGAAACATAATTATATTTATATAATGTATATCTATATATATATGTACACACTGGCACAAATGCAATAGATTTCTAATACGAGCTTGAGTTTCATTTAATATCTTGACAAATAATTCCTCTCTATTCATGATGCATTTTGCTTTTTATATGACCGATGTTCCAACAAAAGCAATTAATCCAAAGAGATTCAAAGCCAGATCTCTCCCTACATTTATTATATGATGACATTTTTTTTTAAACAGGCAATAACAGGGAATTATGTTACTGCTGATCACCTGTTACATTTTGTCAGTTCAACGTCAAGAGCAGTTGTTTTTGGAAAGTAGCTGTGACTTCTTTGATTTGAAATCTTTGGATTTAGACTTCAATCTACATGGTTACATATTAGGCGCTTTCACACCAAGTACTTTGCCGTACTTAGTTCATCAGAACTCTTTAGTTCTGATGCACTAAAGAGCAGATCGCGTTCACACCGGAATAAGTCCCTGAGGGAGGATTAGGCAGATGAAGCCGCTGACGTCACTTCTTCTGCTTTGGGTTTACTGGCAGGCCGCAAACCACTTCACGGCGTATACTGCCAACCGAAGTACCCGGCCAGAAGTCCCCGGAGTTGGGGACTGGCTTCAGTAGAAGCTGCTGGGACTCCCAGCAGCTTCTACTGAAGCCTTCCGAGTAAATCGCCAGAACGCCGACACCTCCTCATCTCCACCGCTCCTATGTTTTTTTTTGTATTGCCATAAGTTAGTCTCTCCGTTGGTGCGCGGGGCTAATGCTAATGCTAATAATGCTAATGCCAGCAAACACAATGGCGGCTTCACAAAACGTTTCAGAGTTTTACGGGGCGTGGTTTGCAATCCGCCCAGCCAATCAGAAATGGGAACCTTTTTCTCCCAGGAAAGTACCTGCTCTCTAGCAGGGACTAAAAAGGGGGTGAAAAGGTTCTCATTAACTAAGTTCTAGTTCCGGATTTTTTTGGTGTGAACGCAACATTTCAAGAACTATTGGAACTATACTGGGAAAAGTACTCTGGTGTGAAAGCACCTATTGTTCTTTTTTCATACAAATTGACTCACTTTTAGCTTAGTTCTCTGCCTCGGCTGCAATCATCTCTTACACAACTGGCTGCGTTGAGCGGGGGGAGTGACTAAAAGCAAGATGACTAACAAAGACAAGAATGGGAGAAAACAACTGCAGGACCACACAGTGCTGAAACACAGAGCTATTCAGAGAAAAAGCATGAAAGAATGTTTGATGTCATCAGAGCTGTCATACCTTCACATTTCTCCCTCCTCTTCCTCCTCCTCCTCCTCTGCCTTATCATTCCGGCCACACAGCTTAGAAATGAGCCCCCTGATTGCCGTCCATTATGAACCTTGACAGTAATGAATTGCAGACATGAAGTGGTTTGTGTTTACAGACCGTTCAGCTAGTAGCGTTAAATCCACTAAAGGGCCATGAAAGGCTGTCTGGAAGCGAGTAAGGTGTAAAAAAAGTAAAAAGGTGCATTGTTTATTGTTCCTTGCTCTTAATGTTTAGCTGTGAATGAAGGCAATGTGTGTGGCAGGAGGAGGGGCTGAGGATGGCGGCAGCTCATCTCATCTCTCCTGCCCACACACAAACACAAACACACACACTCTACCATCCATGTCGTCTCTCTGCATTCCACGGATTACAAGGCGTCTGCTCCCGTCTGCCTGTCTGCTCGTCTGCCTGTCTGGGGGCGTGCCGGTGACTGTTCCCCTGAGCACACAGAAGACAAAAGCAGGAGAAAGTTGAGGAAAACTAACCACTAGGGCGTTAGAGACACGTTTGATTCATCAGTGAGGTTAAGGTTGTATTAGAACTCAAAATCCTGTTAGTGTTTTTGCGAGGTTCATTCCTGACATGTCTGGGCAGAGTCATGCCAGTGTTGTTAGAAGTAGGAAATGGTTTAAGTGATGTTAAGCCAAGAGCCATGACCAAATTCTGAGCTAAGGGCTGGAAGAAGTGCTGCTATCTTTTACATAAGAAAAAAAGTACACAAGTATTCTTAAAACACCAAAGGTAGAAATGGTCATTCTTACAGAACGTTATATAATCGGATTATAATTGTTGCTGTATACTGTCTAAGCAGTCCAGTCCAATTAACTTAACTGTCCAGTTAAGTTAATTTGAGCTCCTTTTATATCCTACAGGGTAGTGTAATCTATACACAAGACAACATCATTAGTTTGTTGATAACATATTATAATAAGGGGAGATACTAGATAGTAAAGGTGTTTTGGGTGAACAATTTTATAACAGACTTTACATTAAACATCACTCGTTAATTACATCAAGACAGCTTTTATCAGGGGATTTATTTAAAGGTATCAGGAAAAAAATGTTTGGGGAAGAAACAACCTTCAAAGATTCATAATATAATATTCCATATATTTTTCAAGTATTTGGCTCTGAAATGAAATGGATTTAAAGTATAAAGCTGTGAAAATTCTTCAATTATTTAACACACTGACAATCTTTTGATCTTGGTGGTAATGTAATAGTAGACAATTCCATTAACGTTATGGAGATTTTAAACAGATCTGTTGTGTTTGGGTGTGTCGTGTGTGTGTGCATCAGTGTTTGTCAGATGGCTTCCTGTGCATTCCTGTTGTTGGTGCTGAACTCACTGACGTGTGTGTGTGTGTGTGTGTGTGTGTGTGTGTGTGTGTGTGTGTGTGTGTGTGTGTGTGTGTGTGTGTGTGTGTGTGTGTGTGTGTGTGTGGTGTGTGTGTGTGTGTGTGTGTGTGTGTGTGTGTGGTGTGTGTGGTGTGTGTGTGTGTGTGTGTGTGTGTGTGTGTGTGTGTGTGTGTGTGTGGTGTGTGTGTGTGTGTGTGTGTGTGTGTGTGTGTGTGTGGTGTGGTGTGTGTGTGTTGTGTGTGTGTGTGTGTGTGTGTGTGTGTGGTGTGTGTGTGTGTGTGTGTGTGTGTGTGTGTGTGTGTGTGTGTGTGTGTGTGTGTGTGTGTGTGTGTGTGTGTGTGTGTGTGTGTGTGTGTGTGTGTGTTGTGTGTGTGTGTGTGTGTGTGTGTGTGTGTGTGTGTGTGTGTGTGTGTGTGTGTGTGTGTGTGTGTGTGTGTGTGTGTGTGTGTGTGTGTGTGTGTGTGTGTGTGTGTGTGTGTGTGTGTGTGTGGCAGGCATAGCATGCCAGTCAAAGCCGCCTCTGGAAAGACATCAATTATTGATAAAGCCGGTGTCACGGCAGCACCCCTGTGTTGACTAATGTGACGGATGCAGGAGAGTGTTTCTGTGTGTATCTGGCAGCTCTTGTACACTTTCTGCAAGGCAAGCGCCAGTATATTTACACTCTGTGTGTATGTTTGTCTCCAGAGAAGCACTTATAGCGGATGCAGTTTCATTAATCACAAATGGCTGGCAGCTAATACTGCAGCCTCCTCAGCTAACTGCTTCTACCTGTTACCTTTTTCACCTGATCCACTTGCTGGTGTTCTTTGTTTTTACATATTCTCTTTCTCTCTCCATATGCACATCCCACACATTCTCTGTTTCTCTCTTCCTGTACTGCTTTCCAGACTGTTGACCATGCTTCATGGTTGTTTAGCATAATTTATGTTTTTCTTTTCCTTTTTTGTGCTTCACTGAATGCAGATTTGTTTCAAATGTTACAGCTGCAGGCAAAAGAAACACGTTTCAGAGACCTGTTTTGAGATTTCACCTGAATATGAGCAGTAGTAATGATAGTAATAATAGCAGTAATAGTGATCAGTGCACATTCTCTCTGTATATTTTGCACGTTTCTGTACAATGCTACCTCTTTAAAACTGCAGCTGTTCCACTTTAAATTCTGATACACTGCACATTAATTATATTCCAGATTCATTAGTCAATAACCCTGATTCTGATTCTGATATACTTTTAGCAGTCTTTCAGTGTCATCCAACAAGACTCTGCACTCTGGTTAATTTGCACTGCACAACCTCTTGTAAACACATTGTGTGCCATGTGTTGAATGCATTTGCTTACTAATAGGAAGTGTTTTGCTTCTTGCATAATTATGAGTGACCACCGGCAACTGTTGATCAGCAGAAAAGTGTGAAACTGGTGGCCTGCACGTGCAACACGTCAAACCCACGTGCCCACACATGTGTAGGAGACAAACAAAAAGGGGACCCACTCCTGCTTAGTAGTGCAATATCCCTATGTTTTTTACTTTTCCAGAGGAAATCATATTCATACAAGTATTTCAGTCTTAGTGTACCTATCCAGAAGCTCATTATCTATGCAAATATTTAAATCAGCTCACAACACAAGCCTTGCCGTTTCCATAAATTGATAACAACGATTGAAGGTGTTCCTAATAACTCGGTGTATGGATACCAGCTGTGATACAGGCCACCTGCTCTCCCTACATAAAGGTCACAGTTTGATGTATACCTTTGTTTTTGATGTGTGTCTCCTTGTAGACCCTCACTCTCTGAGCTGGGAAGAGACCATAATTATCGCCCTGGCAACCGTCTCCGTGCTGGCCGTGGTTGCTGTAGCAGCCTTCTTTGGTTACCGCATGATAAACGGTGAGTTACTATTGCGCCACTCTGCGAGGAAGGGCAAAGAACATTCATTATTCAAGGATGCTTAAATGTTTTGGTAGAAATTCAATACATTTTGTAAATTGTTTTAATTGTGTGCTTGTGTGTGTGTGTGTGTGTGTGTGTGTGTGTTAACAGGAGATGGTAAACAAGGCCTTCACAACCTGAATATGATGGAGGCCGCTGGCTCCGAGAGCTCTCTGGACCTTGACAATCTCAAACTGCTGGAGGTCAGTGCCCAACATTTTGTTTGATTATACTTTTCTTGCCCAGGAAAAGCCAGTTTATTCAGTGTAACAGCGAAGAGTTCCAGCAACACTGTGTAACACTACTCTAAATAACCATATGAGCCAATGAGTGTTGCAGGAATTAGTCCTAAAACCCACAAATGCTGCTTCAGTTCCACTTGGGTATTTAGTATTAGTTCTTAGTGATGTATGCTTTTTTTCAGCTCTTTACTTCTTTTATACCCCAAGATCTTGCCTGAAGGTATGAGCCTGTTTCAGCATTTCTACACACAGAGCAGGGCGTATGTCTGCGAAGAAGGATGGAGAACATGAGCTAGAAAGAGAAACCAAAGTCAAAGAGACATAAATACACCCAAAATAAATCAAGGTTTATGGTTACATTTTTCATTTCAATATGACCTTTACATCAGACCATCCGATCTCGGCAGGATCGGAACAGAAATAGGATTTTGCTTACAGTGACACAGGATCCTGAAAACCTGATAGGGAAGCGGGAGAGCTCATATTGTGATAGGAAGTCAATGAAGTCTGGATGATATGCAGTCACAATGACGGTATAAGCAGGGTGTGGGGATTAGAATGCAAGCAGGAAAAATACATTATATAAAATCCAGACGAGCGGACAGCATGACGCAGCGAAGTATAATTTTTCTGAAAACCCCACTATCTGTCAGTTTGTTGGTACAAGCTCAATAATATTTTCCAATTAAAACACTTTTCTAAAGAGCAACGCAATGCTATTTCGGTGCTGCTCCTAAACTTGTTTGTCAGATAAAAACGGAAAGGACATTTTTTTTTTTTTTCAGCCTTGAGCCTATTATTGTTATTACCGTATGTCCATTGGGAGGATGAGTAATAATGATTTAGCACTCACCACCTCCCTTTTAAAGATCTAGGTAGCTTAAATTATTCTCCCACAGTATGATGTAAAAGGGACTGAGTGTAAAGTGTCCTTGTAAACTGTTTTAAAACATACTATTTAATTGATGTCATGTTAGTCGTTGATGATGTTACAAGGAGAATAGTACCAAGCAGTGCCTTGTCTGTCTCAAGCATGCTTTAGTCTCTGCAAGGAACTGAAAAACGTAAGAAATCTGTGCCAATGGCTGACTGGAAGGCAGATAAAAATGGAGAGAAATCAAAACATTTGATCTGCTTTTTAAAGGAGCCCTCAGTAATATTAACTGTTCATGATTTTTGGTAAATGTATTGAAGTATTCTGAGTGAAATACGAGTTGCTTTGCTTCTTGACAAGACAGAAAGACAACCAGCCAATCAGTACTGAACTTTGTGCTCCAACTAGAGAGAAACACTGATGTACTTTTTCTATTCAGTGCATTTCAGAAAAGAGCGAGAGCACTATCTTTTCAGGCAGGAGTTGAATTCAGAACTCTGTCCTTGTGCCTTATCAAATGCAGACACGCGTTCTTTTACATCAAACTCATTGCAGCGGGGGAGGGAGCCTAACTCAAAGACTAAACAGAGTCAACTGCCTTCCACTGTATATTCTATAGCCAGAGATGAATGTTTTTAGCAAACGTGGAGGAGGAAATCACAAAGACACAACCCTGATTTGTTCCTTCCCTTAATGCAGATGACTTTTAAAGCAGAATGTTTTCAGACTTTAATGGCATGCTGGGCTCTGGCTGATTCGGACACTAATGATGTGGAACTGACTTAAGGCCATTTTAACTGTTTAACCCTGCTGTTCGCCTGTCATTTAGTTTATTTCCTTTTTTCCTTCTGCCTGCCTGGCTGTCTTTATTTGTGTAACTCTCTTTATGTGTTTCTATTTTTTGCCTCAAGTACCATTCTTTAACAAACAAAAGTATTATTTTATCCACTCGGTTTTCTTCATGATTTTTGAAGTGAGAGCTAAAGGTCTAGAATTACAAAAATAGTTTTTCTCCTCCAGCTGATAGGGCGTGGCAGATATGGCGCAGTGTACTGTGGCTCTCTGGATGAGCGGCCCGTGGCTGTGAAGGTGTTCACTGCAGCCAACCGGCAAAACTTCCTGAATGAATGCTCCATCTACCGGCTGCCGCTGCTGGAGCACGACAACATAGCCCACTTCGTTGCTGCCGACGAGCGGACAGGCCCTGAGGGACGCACAGAGTTCCTGCTGGTCATCGACTATTGCCCACATGTGAGTAGTGGGGGGAGTAGGAAGTGTCGTACTAGTGTAGTGTGTGTGTGTGTGTGTGTGTGTTCAACATAAAGACCACATTATGATACCTAACAATTAGACTTTAGTCCTGGTTAATTCTGCGATACTGGTAACTGGTAAATCAGGTCTCAATCCACGTATGATCCAAACATGCACGAGATGTGCATATATTTAATCTTCATAATAACAGGGTATATGCAGGAATCCTGAAGTCAAATGTAATACCTTTTTAAGCCCCTTTCCATACATTTTAAGACCTCATCGCCACTTTGAGTTGTAACCGGTTACATTGGCGACACACTTTACCTCACATTTACTATATACAGTATTGATTGTCCTTCCAACCATTTGGACGCAGACTTGCATTTCCCCATAACGATGTTGTTTAACAACCGGTGTAAACGGGCCTTCGCGCGCTATCAAGCAGTGAGCATGCGATGTCCTGTTTAGATGACGTCAAATAAACTACACAGAATCACACTACACACCTCCGCAATGATTACATTCAGGCAAACTTTAGAATACAACCTCTTTGGACAATTTATATAGTTATTGAAAACAAGCTACACAATGTAATACCTTGGAAAATGCCGTTTAATACTTTTTAATATTTTTTAATAGCCTTAATTTTCGCTAAATTGATTTATCAACTTTTAATACTTTTTAAGACCCCGCGGACACCCTGTTAAGCCTTTTGAATGATCAAGAGAGTTTGTTACCTTGCTAAAGTGGTTGTTGGTGGAGATCCTCTCCTTCCAGATCACTGCGGCGGCTGCTCTTTGCCTACATAACTTCAAACATTAATTCGCACTAGTTGTGTGTGTCGCCGATGTCCTTATCCTGAAGTGCTGCAGAAAAAAGTAGAGAAGCTGTCAATGAAACTGGGTGACGTCAAGCACTTCAAAATTATGTTCATGCCAACAGACAGTTGCCAACCTAATCCTTTTTCCTAAAAAACATTATGTGAATAAAATAATTATCTTTTAATTAATTGTGTAGGAATTGTGACAGAAATGTCGGTACCACTTTACAATAAGACTACCCTTATAAAGGATTCATAAATGGTTCATAATTAGGTTATTAATTAGGTTGTAAACACTTTATTAATCATTAAGAACCATTTATAAACCAGTTCTAACATAGTTTTCATACATCAACACAGGCTCACTATTTGGCAAGATGACTAAGCCTTATATTGGCCACCTAGCTTACTTCGTCAGCCAACATCCTTGGTATCCATCTTGATGTTTCTTGGCATCTCTTTATGACCATTTATTTACGAGTTACTAACATTTATAGTTGCCAAAAGGGAGGCTTATTGTAAAGTGTAAAACACATTCCCATTTATGAATGAGTTACTACCGTTTCTAATAAGGCTTAGCAGTACAGATAAATGTGGGCTCACTATTTGGCAAGCAACCGGTCACAGTTGCCCTGTTTATCTCATGTCTTATAAAAGCTTATTAAGGATTTATAAAGTGTTCACAACCTAATTAATAAATGAATTACAAACTATTCGTAAACCCTTTATACGGGTAGTCTTATTGTAAAGTGCTACCGAAATGTCAGATAATAGCTAAAAATGCTTTCCTCAGTCTCCCAGTGCCCAAAGCCAAGAGACCCAAACCCAAAGATGTTTAATTAACAATTATTTGATCAAACAATATTTGGCAATTCAATTTCTAATCCAGAATTTGACTTAAAATTATGCATTTCAACTTGATGTGAATTATTCCATCTATGTTGTGAGTGGTTTGTCAGGAGATTGATTTCAAAACTATAATCTTTGTCATGTCTACTTTAATGTGGCCTGAGAGGGACAAACAGGGTGAAGGTGTTCACTGCAGCAGAAAAAAACCGTTGTAAACCTAAAGTTTTATTTCACCCATATTTTCCTGCATACAGATGGGCACAGCTGGCAGAACTAAGCCTTCACACTGCGTGCTGAAGGCTGCCTCCATGAGATATTCGATATTAGATATTAAAGCAGATTTACCTTTAAGCTGAATATGCTTACTGCCCAAGCCCTATGAACACTATACTAATACACGTTGTCATGGAAACACGGTGCAAGCCAGGACATGAGACTGAAACACATAATGCATTCAAGTAAATGATAATATAATTTATTTCAAACGAACAGATCTAATATGATTTTGTTTAGCAGCGGATGTGCTTATGGCCTTGAGATTGATTTGATTGAGAGAAAGGATGAAGTGTCTGTGCGTCAGGGCCAGAGCCAGATGACGATAATTGAGGAAGGAAATTAATCAAATATAATATCTGGTAAACATTATCATGGAGTCTTTTATATTCCTCATAAGATATTACCAGAATTGCACGCCGCTTTCATCACGCAAAATGTCATAACTCAAAATAAACTGTACTGCCTTTATTTGGGGGGGGGGGGTGATCAAATATTCTGTAAATCGGTTTATTGTCAAATTCCACAGGGAGGTCAAAGCACAAGCGCAGACTTTTTTTATTTAAAGTTGCGAGAGATAAATCGGAAGTTAATCTTTTTTTGAAGTTCTCTGTCTTGACCTTGGGTTTTATTGATAGTGAGGAGGATGTTGAATTTGGATTTTTAAAGTGAAAAATAGCTCCTGCGAGTGAATGTGTGTGAGATTAGCTCAAACCAAGTAGCATAGCAGGAAATATTGTAAGACATACTTGCGTTTAACCAGAAATTCAATTCAAATGTATTTCTTTAGCAGTTATAAATACTAATACACATCTTTATATATTGTAATGTTATATATTGCAATACAAAGTGCACATTTTTCCTTGGGTGCATAAATACTGAATGGCTTTGAAGGTGCTAAAGGCAAATGCAAACCATCTAGAAACCATCTTGGCCCACCTGTCCCAATGCCTATGGTTTATCATCAAAACATTACTGGCTATTTGTTGACTGATGGTGGAAGTTTTTCTTGCCAGATGTTTTTCCCCCCGCATCTGTAGGTCTTCTTATCTGGGAGATCTTTAAAGTGATGCTGGCGGATGATTTCTTTTCTCAGTCCATCTGTCCCCTATGTCTAATCTTTCTTGTTTACCTTCTCCATGTTTTCTCCCCTCCCTCCCCCTCTGCACCCTCCTTCCTACCTTGTCCACTCCCTCATGTCCTCCTCAGGGATCTCTGAGTCGCTACCTGGGCCTCCAGATCAACGATTGGGTCGGCAGCTGTCGGCTCGCTCATTCCGTCACCCGTGGCCTGGCGTACCTACACACTGAGCTCTTCAAAGGAGGTGAACTGGAGGACGCACGCACACACACACGCTGTTAATTACGTAACTGCTCACAGTTTACACAGGCTCAAGTTCCATGGCTGCTGCTTCCATCTGCTACAGAAACACAAACACTAAACATGGAAAAACTCTTTCTGTTTGTAGCCCTGTTAGTTTGAGAAAGGATTTAGTTTGTGTGTATTACCATCTCCAGCCTGTCTTGCTGAGTCGTGCTTTAGACTTCTAACGGCCGGCACACTGCAGCTCCACGTGGGTCTGTTTGGCTTGGAGCGCTTTGCATCCCTGCATTTTGACACACGTGCACAACCAGCCTTGTGTATTTATAGACCGGCCTCAAGCTAGCCTCAGAGTGAAAAATAGTGAGCGGGACAAACTAGGGACAGGACAGCGGATGCAAGATAGGGATTCAGATGACACGTGAACATCCCCGCGGCTCGATGAAATCAGTCGTTGGAGGCAGAAGTGACTGAAGTAAGCCTTGGATGGTTTTTTTCACGCCAACAAACCTCAGCCTCAGCGCTCCCCACTCATTTCTCTTCATCAGCACTGATACACATCAAACAGGCTAACAAGTGAAGGGGGTAGAAAGTGTTCTTGCAGTAGTGTGTGAAGGCAGGGAATAGAAGTAATGCTGTTTGTGCAAGCATGTGACAAGTACACGAGGGGTTGTCCATCTCCTTTCCTTTTCACTGCAAGTGATGGGCAGAGGAGAGAGAGAGCTAGAGAGAGAGAGAGAGAGAGAGAGCTAGAGAGAGCTTGTGTGTAATGGCACAGTCTTTTGGTACATCCTCCCCCACTGCTCCTGCACATCAGTAGAAGGCATCAGATAACTGTGGTGGCCGCCCTCTGCTGGACTGTGAGATACTGCAGGCAGAGGCTTCTGTGATATGGTCTTAATCTAGATTAGATTAGAGGGTTTAACTGTCTGTTAACAGTGCAGCTTGCTCTGGTGAACAATGACTAATGGGAAGAATGGAAAGCTATATGACAGGATTTACTGGATGTTATCATTTGCAAATGTCACAACAACTGCCTGAGTGAATGATTTATTTGAAGCAAAGTATTTGCTAACACTGTCCAGATTTACATGTTGAATGACAGATATAATAGCTTCATCTTGTGTCTGATTATTTATTTATTTCCCTTGTCCTTTTCCATCTATCCAGACGTGTACAAGCCAGCCGTGTCCCACAGGGACCTGAACAGTCGCAATGTTCTTGTCAAGGCTGACGGCACTTGTGTCATCATCGATTTCGGCCTGTCCATGAAGCTGACAGGAAACAGGACCGCACGCGCAGGAGAAGAGGAAAACGCTGCCATAAGTGAGGTGAGTGCTCAGGAGCATTTAGACTTTATATTTGAGCTCATTGCCACAGAAGACAATCAGAAGGATAGTTTATCATCCATCAGTCCTCACCTTGTCCTACTTTCTCTTCCTGACTCACTTTAATTTTTTCTGCTCCGTCTGCCAGGTGGGGACGATCCGCTACATGGCTCCAGAGGTCTTGGAGGGGGCGGTGAACCTGAGGGACTGTGAGTCAGCGCTGAAGCAGGTGGATATGTACGCCCTGGGCCTGATCTACTGGGAGACCTTCATGAGATGTACCGACCTGTTCCCTGGTAAGACACACAGACACACTGTGTGAAGGCTATTTTGAATGGTATTAATCTGTCTCCATCATTATCACAAGCAACACAAGAATGAGCCCCTCTCACGCTACACACATTAGTAAGCCATTAAATACACATTTATAATGGAGGGTAGCAGACACTGGAATTGTATCATTTGTTGTGGAAAAAAAATAAAGCTAAAATATTTTCTCTGCTACATTAGAAATATCTACAACACACCCCTCCTCTTTCTGTCCTATCTCTAGGGGAGTCAGTGCCAGATTACCAGATGGCGTTTCAGGCGGAGGCAGGGAACCACCCGACGTTTGAGGACATGCAGGTCCTGGTGTCCAGGGAGAAGCAACGGCCCAACTTCCCAGAGGCCTGGAAAGAGAACAGTTTGGTAAGTGTGTGTGTGTGTGTGAGCCACACTCTAAATTATAAAACACTGTCATCAGATTGTGAAACATGTCACTACAATGTTTTTGTTGTTGTTGCTTACTAGTTGTTTAAAGGGTCCTCCTAAAATGTACTTATTTAATGATCCATTTTTATAGTTCTTACAGTGTAAGAGATACATAATCTAGGAACTGTTTCTGCTGTATATGGATCAGTGTTTTAATAAAGTGATCAAACTGTGTCCTGCAGGCGGTCCGCTCTCTGAAGGAGACGATGGAGGACTGTTGGGACCAGGACGCAGAGGCCCGCCTCACAGCACAGTGTGCAGAGGAGCGACTGGCAGAGCTGCTCATCATATGGGACCGCTCCAAGTCTGTCAGCCCTACACTGAACCCCATGTCCACAACCCTGCACAATGAGAGGTAGGGAGAAAGACACAACAACCTCCATCAACTCAGTACTTCTTTTAAATGTTGTCTTTAACCTCACTGTTTGCTTTTCATTTTTTTCTGATAGAAATCGCATGACGCCAAAATCCGGCCCATACACAGACCACCCCTCTACTTACATTGAGGAGCATGAGGGCGTTGCCAAGAACACGCAGGGGGACACCACTGGCTCTGTGAGTGGTCGGGCTGGGGCCGGTACTGGGACCGGAGAAAGAAACAGGAACTCCATCAACCAGGAGCGCCAGCAGCAAGCCAACGCCCGCCTGCCCAGTCCAGAGGGCAGTAGCACCAGCATGGGGCTGAGAGGCAGCCCATCAGCCTCCACCACCACCACCACTATCATCTCTGACTCTGAGGGACCTGCAGGGACCTCAGTCCCCGTCTGCCTCCACCTGACCCAGGAGGACCTGGAAACCACCAAGCTAGACCCGAAAGAAGTAGACAAGAATCTGAAGGAGAGTTCGGATGAGAACCTGATGGAACACTCACAGAAACAGTTCTGCTCTCCAGATCCGCTGAGTCCCGGCAGCTCCAGTCTCCTCTACCCGCTAATCAAGATGGCAAGTGAGGCAGCAGGCACATCAGACCCCGCCGCCCCCATGCCCTCCACCATCTTCCCCCTGCCCAAGCAGCAGAACTTGCCGAAAAGGCCGTCCAGTCTGCCCCTGCGCAACAAGCCCCCCAAGAAGGAGTCATCCTCGTCCTCACTCAGATTCAAGTTTGGCCGCTCTGGGAAGTCCAACCTGCGGCAGGTGGAGGGAACAAAGATGAACATTGGTGCAGTAACAGGCACAAACACAGCTGCAGAAGTTAACCGGGTCCCAGGCACAAACAACACACCCGCTCTACGAGACACGCACCTCAACGGGAGCGCGAATGGCGCTGCTAACGGTCATGCCGGTGTAGGGATCTCCTCCATGGCTACAGGTGGAGCGACAGGTTTTGGAGGATCTGGCATCACTCAAAACGGCTCCGGAGCCCTGAGGTCCGACGACAGCCGCCTCAGCCTTGGTGTCATCACGGCCAGCCCCGACGAGAACGAGCCGCTCCTGAGCCGCGAGCGAGAGCAGCCGGACCCGAGAGTGATGTCGTCGAGCGTAGCAGCTCTCCGCTCAGCCCGACCCAACACAAACAACAACAACAGCAACACTGGCCTGGGAAAGGGGAATGAGAGCGGAGGGGAGAGTGATGGAGGAGAAGAGGAGGGAAGTGGGGAGGGAGGAAGCAGGGAAACCACAGGGCCCTCAGGAGAGAACTCAGGGTCGGGATCCGGCGTCGCTGTCCCCCAGGGGGAGCCTTCGGTCATCATGAGGGGGGAGGCCCTGCTCAGGCAGCCCAGAGCCCGCAGGCCTGAGAGACCCAACTCCCTGGACCTGTCCTTCACCACACAGGACCTGGCCTCACTAGGTGATTATACATCAACAACTGCACAAAAATCATCCTCGGATCCAGTGCAACAATGTCGCTTAACAAAGATTTATGAGGCTTTGATACATGTATCCTAACACTATTTGTTAGGTTTTTCATTATTATATATTATATAATTATATAGAATGCAAATCCTCATATTGAAGGAACTTCAAATGTTTGGCAATATTTGATAAATTACTTTTAATTATTAAAAATGTTGTTGTTTTAAGCTGCAAAACAGCATTAAAGCATTTTAATGCTGAATTACAGAATCACTTTTAATTGACATAGATTAACTATGATGAGTTATGTTACCTTAAAAGGGACAATATTTATGTTTCACATAAAGATCAGTTTACTAGTCATGTAGAGTACTACTCTAAAGCCTGTACAAATAAATCCTGAAGTCATAATGACATGGTGATATCCTCTTATCTTAGCTCGGACTTAGAGACTAAACATTTGTTACCTAAAAAACTGAGTTACATGGGTTGCAGCTAACTACTGTTAAACATTATCAAATGTGCATGGAAAATTACTTTAATGATAATCAATTATCAGTTGGCGCAAATGTTCCTGTCAAGCGACTAAATAATAAATAAGTCTACTAATAAAATGTTTTGAATATTTTTTTCACTTTTTATAATTATATTTCCACCACTTTATAGAAGTGGACTGGATGCCCTTTTAGTAAATAGTCATGATAACTCGGCACAAAGTACTGATCCATGTTTCTTCCTGTTTTCCAGGGGACGGCCTGCAGCTAGATGGAGCCTTTGAGACAGGAGAAAAGATCAAGAAGCGCGTAAAAACACCTTACTCCCTGAAGAAGTGGCGCCCCACCACATGGGTCATCTCCACAGACACCAGGGGGCCGGAGGTCAACAACAACGGGTCCTCCCGCGGTCAAGGTCACAGTCAGAACCGGCCCAAGTCCAGTTCGGCCATCTACCTGCGCGGAGGGAGCTTGGCCAGCGAGCCAAGCGACACCCACGTGTGAACACAGGCTCTGTGACAAGACTGAAAAAAACAACCCAGAAAGCGTTTGGTTTCTGTCTGTTGAGCTCTCAATCAGCAAGAGGAAGCTATGGAGTGTCTTGTGAACAAACATTTGAGTCTGATGGTGTACAGTAATTAGGTCTGTCTCACTCCTGTGTGTCTTTCTGATGATGGCATTGCTTTAAATGGAATCCAGCTATGCAGCATTCTCATCTGCTTCTGTTTCCGCGTTTTTAATAGTCTCCCTTCTTCGGTTTTGTTTCATGTTTCGTCCTAATGAGCATAGCAATGTTTTGAATGGATATCTTTCTTTCTATGTGCACTTTGAACCAACTAAAATCAGTGTTTAGAAGTCCTGTCTGTTGCGACCACCACAAGAAGTGGTCTCTAAACTTAAAAAGGCGATGAAAAACAATCAACGCTTTGAGCGTTCTTTCTCAACCTAGCTGGATCAAGCAAGGTTTGAGAGCAGGCTCTGTAAAATAATTGACGGTCTTAAAAGACAGAACAAACTACTATTTCAAACAAATGTATTTCCTTGATTTGTATGCAATACCAATTTTTGTCTTTTTCGACGATGTATCCATTTTTTGTATCATAATTTTTAATTGTGCAATAGGATTTAGCTTTTAGATGCTTTCAATGTTTTACCGCTTTCTTCATTTTGTTTTATCCCGTTTTTATTTTGATATGTTAATCTTTGTTGCACTTATGAATCGTCACAATCATTTTTTAAACAATCCACCTTAACACTTTCCCCCCGAATCAAGAGGAGAAAATGGATGACAATCCTGCTCTTTCCTTCTTCTCTGGACTATTTTTAAGGGGGCACAAACACTAACAATCAATCGCAGCTGACTGAAAAAGTGGGTTTTCATAAAACTCCTCTGCTTGCACAATTACACCAGGAATGGCTCAGACTTTGGGGTCTTTTAACACTACAATCACCAGAATCAAATCTATGGAGAGATCTGTTACAGTGAACAACTCAATCACTGTACCACTATCAGCTGACCTCACTGTGGACTGTCTGTATGCGCCTGAAAGACCAGAAACACTAGAAAGCCCAGATTCTGCTTTTTGAACTCTGTTGGAAATCAGAAAATAGTCTCAAAGAAACCAAACCCCTCTGAAGCACGCTGGATATAATTTCTGCTTGTTGTCTCATCCCTCGATGTTGGAATGACTGATTCAGTGTGTGTGTGTGTGCATGTGTTGTGTTCCTTTACGTCAGCAAGCATTAGAGTTGTCGGGGCCTAGCGCTGTACAGGCGTGCTGAAATGTCATTGTACTCATTCTGTATTTTCAGCGCTGCTTCAGGGCATATGAAGAGATCTCATTTATGTTTTTGTAATCTGTAATTTTATGAAAAAAAACATATGTATGTGTATTGCATTGATATTTGCATCATTTTTATGGAGTTCTGTTTTGCATTCAATGGACATGGCCTTTAATTCCATTGCTATGCATCTGCTCGGTACAGTTTCTGTAAACATTCTCAAGTCAATATGGAAGAAAAAAAACTCAAATAAATGTATGAAATAACTGCTGGTTATATTAAGAGCATGTTATTGGGATTTCAGGTATTTTATTCTGAAAGTACTGTAATTGGGGGTAATTTTACCAGTAGTAAAGAAGGTAGAAAGAGAACATTGCTTCACAGAAAGTCTAACTCACAGTCCTGGAGAAACAGTCTTCTTCCAAAAACACACCAACAGTCCTTCCCAGGCAGCAGCATCGTCCTATGACCCAGTGAAACACAACATTAGCTTAGTAGTTAGCAAAAACAATGTTTTAAAAATGTCGCAGTATTTCGTTAAATACTCACTGGAAGCTGACGTATGGCCAATTTGAATATTCATGCCATCCTTAAAACCTATTTAATATTTTTTGGGCCATTTAAAATAAGTAGGGAATGCAAAGTATGAGTAAAATTGTTTGTTAAACATTTTAGGCAAACTGTTTTTGGAAGCCATATTAGCTTTAGCTTTAGCTTTAGCATAGCAGACATTGGCAGCAGCACAAGACCAACGCTGAAAATGTACACGTGCTTTAAGTCCAAAACTGATTAAATATAGTTTGTCTTCAGCCCTGTCTTGTTATACAGGTCTCCCAGACTCACCACAAGTTGCTAAATTCGACACAAGAGGGAGACATTTCCTCTCCTCCACTTGTTTACTTCACTTTTCCGCCGCCGTCTGCTCCACGCGCCATAGCAACTGCAGCATCAGCACGAGCAGCGCAGCGTTGGTACGCTACGTCACAGATCCACTCCAGCGTCAAGTCAGCTGCAGGTATCAGACTGCACCGGAAATGGATCAAGTCAATACATATTTAATACATATTGTTTTTAGAATTGTGATAATAGTTTTTGTATGTTTCATTTTTTTCAGATAGGGATACTACAAGTTATTCCTGTTAATATATACCACTGCTTTTTCCCCAGCGGTGTGTGCTATAATTTGATTAGCACATATGTCGAATAAATAATACAAAATTGGAAAATGTCAAATTAGATTTTATCACACTATCTGAAGTGAAGATATAGCTTTTGCATGAATATAGCAGGACCTGCCTTAAAGCCCTTATATATCCAATGTATTATCTGGCTGCTATCACACTACTTATATATGCTACACTTATTTATTTTTTCTTAAAAATACTGTAACTGTACTTATTGTTGTCTACCTGGATCGGTACTTTTGTAATGTGTGTAATTTCTATCTCTAATATTATATGCATGCCTCTTATTTAATATGTTGTATTTTACTTTTCCTGTAACAATGTTCATTTCCACACTGTGGTAACCAGTAAACCCACAGTACAAGTTGAGCCTGTTTAAAACTAGTCTATGTTATTCAAATTAAGAATGAATCCAGAGTCCTGGGTAAAAATCGACAGAGAATATATTTTACTTCGAAAAACAACAACCGGAAGTATCGGTGTTTACTCCGGCGTGCTTCACACTGGTCCCTCTCCCGTCGTGTCAACCAACTAGCACAGCATCACCGCCTTCTTCTTTCTATCCCTTCTGTATTTTCTGTCCTTCTGCTATATTTTCTGTCGTTTTCCGACACTTCACGATCTCCGCCAGGCTCACAACGACGTTTCCTCTTTTGATACCCATATTTTTGCGGGCTGAAATCGTTTCGGTAGCTGTTTCAGCCGTCGTGCCGCATCAGCCGGGAGAGAAAAACATCCATCCACGACGACGAGGAGGCAGGGTGCGAAAACAGCAACGCCCATTTTGACACCTCCTGTATCAGTGCTATCCCCACGAAAACGTTTTAGGATATTTTCTATGTCTGCCTGTTTATATCTGAGAGGGCTTTCCTCACTTGCAACCTGCACAGTCGTCCCTTTGCCCTGTGTTCCCACCGCCTCTTTGGCATCTTCTCGGAGCTGCAGACATCAACAGGGGCTGAGGTGAAGAGCTCCATGCACCTTTGCATGCAGCGCAGCTCGGTCACATTCCTGCAGGTGAGTGCCGTCATGTTTCTCCTCACACACATTTAAATTCATCTCAAAATCATGAGCCTGGTTATATGCTCTTTTGTCATATAGGTCCATATGGAATACGTTTTCATGATAGTGATGATATGTGTGGGAGGAGCTGCATGCTTCTCTCCCTGTAAACACAATTGGCCTTCATTATTCATGACATGGCATGAGGATTCGATATGCAGGGAGCAATCTTTCATTTGTATGTATAATATATATTAATATAATGAATGCACAGCCTGATCAATAATGATTTAAATCGCATAATCTCTGCTTTAGACCTATTGTTTTATTATACATTGCAGCAAATTGGCAAGATTGATGTATTGTATTTTGTGTGGTAAGGTCTTCTTGTTACATTTGTTTTTATTGCAATATTTAACAATCACATGGCAGTTAGGCAGACAGTGTGCAAAGGCAGTTATGTACTAGAGCTGTAACAAATAATGGATTAGTCCATCAACAGAAAAGGAAACAAGTATTGATCACTGTCATTTGTTAAACACATGTGACCTAAAATAACTCTTCTGACCCAAATGGAAATATTTTCCCAGTATAATATGTAGATAGTGTGTATACATAGGTAGACTATCTTTGGTTTTTGATTGATCAATTGATTTTGGATGAACAAAATGTGCAATTTCAAGGCATCATTTTGGCCTTTGGGAAATTCAGATTGTGACATCTTTGGATGGTTTGATTTAAAACAAATAATGGAGAAATTAGTGGATGTACATTATGTGCTTATTACTTTCTGTGCAGGTTATGCTGTCCGCCTTTTGCTCATGGCTCATGAGGACTGTCTGTCTTGTGTTATAAGCTTATCTTTGATTTAAAGTTTCCTCAGGTGGTAACAGTGTAGCTCCTTTAAAAAAAAGGCTGTTTTTTATACTACTACCAGTGCTACTATTGCTATGAGCCCCAGGTCCATTGTAGTTGGTTGTTGATTTTATGACTGCAGACAGGAAAAACAGCAGTGAAAATAAAGAAAGCTGAGCATTTTGCTAGCAGGCTGCTGATGCGAAAACCCCTGTTTACTCACACAAACTCACACATATACACACACACACATATACACACACATATACACACACACACACACAAGCGCTGCTGTGTTTTAATGACGATCAGTTGTCCTGTTCCCTAGCAACAGTGATGTGTGCTGGTCAAGTCCCCTGCCAAATATAGCTCCTGGACAAGCTCTGTCAATCAATGCTGTGTTTTTACGTGCAGATACATGCATGTACGGTGTGTCGTTACTAGGACTGAGTAGCTTTTTTTGCTGAAATAAATAAATTCATCCTCTATCCTGCAAGATGCTCTGCATTTGCATATATTCTGTTGCTTGTGCATGCATGGCGTTATTATTGCTAGGTGGTTGTCCTTTTGTTTACAGGGATAATATTGTTATTATCATTATTATTATTATTTTAAATTCTATCTTGCAGTTTAGTTCCCAGTAAATGCAATGTTCAACTATTTGTTTTCTAAAAACTAAAAACGAATGAAACACATGTTTTATTCAAACATGGATATAAACGTTGTAAACGTTTTTGTCTGTGTTTGAAACTTGAATCTGAAATCAGATTTTGCTGACACCCTGCACTTTGCTGCAGCTCTGAATCAGGGTCAGTTGGGCACCTGCACTCAGTGCCCCTCACCCCCCCTTTGCTTTAAGCTATTTTAATGCCATTAACCAGGGGGCTGTGGAGATTTAGAAGGGGGCATATCTGCTCTGCCCACGATGGGATGGATTAACATGCACACACACAAACCTAGACAGACAGAGCGAGCATGCATGAGCTAATCCTGCAGGCCAGCTGTTGATTGATGTGTTTACCATGTGTTGACAAATACCTTGTTTACATCCAACTCACCCCTACTCCTCCCTGTGTTTCCTCCTCAGTCTGCATCAGTGGCCTTATCCTCCCACATCTTCTCGCGGTGCTCCTCCACGTCCTCCGGCGTCCCCCACTTCTCCTTCTGAGTGCTCCGCTCCTCATTCTCCTCTCGGGCTCCCGCCATCCATCCAGCTGTGGCCCTCGCAGGGCGCGACTGCTGGCGCTCACCTGACAGGTCCCTGGCCTCAGGACGACTGCCAGCACCCGTACTCTCCCTACATGAGGGACAAAGCGACGCAGGTCAGTGCTGCGGGGGCCGGGGGGGTTACGCATTGTGTGTGGTATATGAATTTGAGATTGGTTTGTATGTAAGATATAAACAACTACAATGTTAGTGACAATGAATGAATGTGTGTGTTCTTGCTTCTTAAAGATAGCTTTGAAGACATGTGTGTTTAAGAGAGATTGCAGACGGTTGCATCATGATGCTGTGTTGCTGTCTTTGACTATTACTCACATACTGACTTTGAACCAGAGTCTGGTCAAACAGAAGCTGTAAGATATTTCTGTAACTGCAGCTATGGTCTATTTTACGTAGGCATCAGAAAAAAACAGCATCAGCTACAAAGTGTGACACTGGCAACACCAGTTGCTTCTCATAGAAAACCCCTATGTTGTACTATATCTGAAATAAAGCTCTAACCAGTGTGTGTGCGTGTGTTAGACCCCCAGGGCCTGGGCAGATGAGAGGAGGAGGGGCTCTCACAAACGCTCGGCCTCCTGTGGGAGCACCGACCAGCTCAAGGAGGTCAGTTTCTTTGTTTTAAAGCCAAAATAAACAAATGTTATGTTGTAAATAAATGCTTTTTCTGAGCATTGTGCTTCAGTTATGACTGAAGACACCATCAATAACAAGACATGGCTGTATACATCTATACATCTGCAAAACAACGTCCCTCTGTATGTTTGTAAAACCTCTCTAGATTGCCAAATTGCGACAGCAGCTTCAGCGCAGCAAACGCAGCAGCCGCCATCGGAGGGATAAAGACCGCAAGTCCCCGTTCAATGGCAGCCATACCATCATCCAGTCGCAGGTAAGCAATACAGACTGTGTGCCTGAGTTTCTGTCTGAGCTGAAAAAAGATAAGAAAGTTGAAAAGAAAGTTTTCAGGATGTCCCATTTAACTCATGTCCCTGTGTGTCTCCTGATGTGTTTTTTTACCAGTCTCTCGTCTATGAAAAGTCATCTTAATTGGGTTCCTCTGATGCAGTAACACACACACACACACTCCAGTCACGTTGCTGTATTTTGACAGCAACAGGGCTGGTCCTCTGCTCCCTGTGGAGTCTGCTGGAGTGCAGCTGTCCTGCTTTCAGGGCCTCCTCAGGAGACAAAGAGAAAAGAGTTATCATGCAACTTTCCTAACAATACTTGACAAGCTCATTAACTGATGCATAGCCACCAGCTAGCAGGAACACACTAGAAGTTACATCAAAATGATCAAAGGTTTGACTTATTTGTTGTTGCAGGAGGTTACAGCTAAATTAGTTCTGAGACATGATATCATAAATCAATGTATAAGTTCATTTTCTTACATTAACCAAATACCATTTCTGTGTATTTGCAACTGATAAGAGGGTAAAGGGTGAGTGAAGGACTTTGTGCAGAATCGGTACTGACAGCAGCCATGTGTGTGTTTTGCAGTCACCTATGCCCAAGGCCATCCTGATACCCATCCCTATATCCAAGTCATCGGCCCCTCGTTTCCGAAACAGCGTAGAGGGCCTAAACCAGGAGATTGAACGCATCATCATCAGGGACACGCCTGAAAAAGACGACACCATCGTTGTGAGTTTTGCTAGCTCAGAGATTGTTTTAAAAATGCACACACAACCACTGTGGGGATTAAGCCCCCGGTCCATGTTGTTATTGTGACCTCATTTGTGTGTGTGTTTGTGCGACAGCCACAGGATGTCCCAGATGGGCACCGCGCACCACCACCCGTCCCCCCACGGCGCAGCAGCAGCACCCGCAGCATAGACACACAGACTCCCTCGGGGGGCGGCCTGAGCGGTAACCATAGCAACTGCAGTAGCCGGCCCGACTCCATCTCGCCCTCCTACCTCACCGTCCTCAACGACACGAGTGGAGGCAGCCCCTACGAGGACAAAGGTGACTCACACACACCATATATTACACTTCATTGTAAGCACGCCGTGTCTCTGTGAGCATGATCTGCTGCCGACCTTTGACCTACAGTCTCCTCTCTCTGTCTGTCCTCAGAGCTAGGCCCCTGCTCCCCGCTGCCTAAATATGCCGCCTCCCCCAGACCCAACAACAGCTACATGTTCAAGAGGGAACCTCCAGAGGGCTGCGAGAAAGTCAAAGTGTCCGAGGACACCATGTGAGTGGATTTTTAGATTTACAGGATGTTCTTTATTTGTTAATGTTATGTACCCACTTATTATGAAGGCTAAGCGTCCCTGCATGTGTCTACAGAACCAAACCTCCGCAGGACCTCCCTCGCTTCTTGTGTCCCGACCGCAACAAGGTCAACTTCATCCCCAACATCGGCTCTGCCTTCTGCCTCGTCAGCATCCTGAAGCCCTTACTCCCCGGTCCCCGAGGTCCAGTGGGCCTCCGGAGCCTGTCCCCGTCCCTCGTGCCTCTGTCCACCCAGCCCTGCCTCCTGGAGGAGCCCGAGAGCTTCTGACGGCTTCACGTCACCCCCGGAAGACCCCCCCCCCCCCAACAAAATCAGAAAACACTTACTAGGAAACAACCCTTCTGCTCTAAGAATGCCTTCAGCATGCCAGCTAAGCTCTCTCTGATGTCCTTATCTCGTTGACAAAGCGCTTCCCACTGCCTCTCCTCAGACGACTACAACGTGAGAGTCCTGCAGCCCTGTGCGGGGGTGTGCAGCTAACATTTCATCGCTTTCTTCTACCTTTAGTGCTGGTTATGTTCCTGTTTTCTCGGGAGGAAAAGGGCGAAAGGACAGACTCTTTTTTTCATCGTATTATACCATGGCGCCTTTCCACGGATATATCTCTTTTTCTATCTGTAGTTATTTCTCTTGATATAAAATATGCCTTCCATTGTAAAAGAAAAAAAAAAAAAAAAAAAGGCCACTGGTTTCCTCGGCGACCAAGAGTTTGACCACGGAGGCTAATTTTGGTGCTGCCAGATATATCGTAGCAAAACTTGAACGGTCGCGACAAGGAGGAGTTTAAAAATGTGCCTGATATTTTAGACCACTCAGTTTCGCTCCACCAGCGTAGTGCTCCATCATGTTTGACCCTTTAGCATGGCACACATGATGTGAGCACTATGCTGGCCATAGATACACACACACAAGCAGAATATACAGGCAGTGGTGGAAAGTAACTAAGTACATTTACTCAAGTACTGTAATTAAGTACACATTTTGAAGCATTTTTACAACTTAAAAGGGAAACATTATACTTTGTACTTCACTACATTTAATTTTTAAGCTTTAGTTACTTTATATTTATTATGATTTGTTGTAAATGTAATCTATCCAACAATATATTTAAGTACCTAAAACAATTAGTAGGACAGGAAATTAATTTGCAGCAATTTAATTAAGTTTTTGTATAAAAACACTTCGCATTTCCAGCTTGTGTGTGAAGATTTGCTGCTTTTACTTGCTAATATTTTAATTTATTTGTAATATATTTTTCTGCAATGAGTTTCTCAATGCAAGACTTACTTGTAATGGAGTATTTTTACAGTGTAGTACTAGTTATTTTACTTAAGTAAAATATCTGAATACTTCTTCCACCACTGTATACAAGGAGGGGGTTTTAAAACATATTTATGTGTACTTTTATCAGCCATTTGCAGTGCAGGCTGACTGTAAACGGGTACAAGCTTCACTAACAGGTAGCAGTGAGGCCCCCCCATCTGCTGCTGTGTATCTATGGGAAACGCAGGCCAGGGCTATGATGTGTGCAGCGTGTTCTACCTGTCTGCTTGCCCCTCCTTCCCAAGCGCCAGCCTTTGCTTCAGAAATGTCCCTCCTTACTCCACGTCCATCACACACACACCCCCCTTTTGTTCCAGCTCTTTCTCTCCTCCTATCTCCCTCACAGTCACTGTAAAGCTGATTTCCTCCTGTCTTGCTCAGCTCGTGTTGTTGTGAAATGTGTCCAGACGGTTCTCATCTTGGCTCCCTCGGGCCTGCAGAGCCCTGAACATGGAGAGGCTAGTGAACACATCCCAATATCACTACTTTTCAAGATGGTCTCCACAGTATTTCTGTCAACCTAATCAATATTTAAACTTAGTTTGAAATGCACCACTTTTTATCTTTTGCATCGAAACATTTCAGACGCGCTGCGCCACATTTGGAGCTGTTGATTGACGGCCTCTCCATGCCCCGGCCCCTCTTCCTGTAAATGTCATTACTACTTAACTGTACCTGCTTCGGTGGGATAGGAATGTACTGGAATTGTAAATATAAAAGGCACACTGTGTTTGTATTATCGGCTGACAAAGATATGTATCTGAATGAGTTGTACCATAGACCCCCTCCCTTCCTCCCTTCCTCCCTTCCTCCCTTCCTCCCTTCCTCCCTTCCTTCCTTCCCCTCCTGCTTTTTCTCCGCTGAGTACTGTGAATTACATGTCTCATTATTGTGAATAATAATGTATTTATTTATCAGGAGTGTTATTGGGTCTTCAGAGAATTTTAACCAAGAATAGATTACATCCTCCATCTCAGGTTGTAGTGATTAGCATACAAAAAAAGATGACTTACTTCTCGTGCACACTAACAAGTCTACACTACGAAGAGAGCAAACCAACAGCTGCTATGTATGTAGCCTCACAACAAGGAAACGATGTAACCTGTAGCAGAGTAGAAGTAGAGAGAAGTGTGGATGTTGTTTATCCAGTGACCTGATTTGGCATGTTTCTAAAAATGAAGAGTTCTGTTCCAAAATGAGATATCCACTTGCTGAAAACAATCACACCTACGGCGACATGACTTTCTGTCGTTTTTAAACGTCTGTTTACAAAAGTAGTTTGGAAGATTAGATTCATACAAATACAGATTTATTTCAGATACCAACTTTTATCAGAGTGGATAAACAGCATTTTGGAATGAGGCTCAACGCAGTGATTCTTTGTTTGCTTGTCCAGTTTATTGGAAACAGAACTGCCAAGTTTTCATCTGTTAAACCCCTCGAGTGAAATAAAAAGGCATAGTTGAATTAAATAAAGCATTTGTGTTGACTTGAGAAATACATTCTTTTTGTGTAAATCACAATCAAGTGTGTAAATCTAGCAGTATACAGTATAATACATTATGTGACAAAACAATACAGTAGTTTCCCTTCATGTGTCACATTTAAAAGAAAAAGAAGAGCAGAGATAATAATATACAGCTTGTATAAAATGTGTTTTTTTTTCCCATGATGCATTTCCATCTGATTACCTCTGCTGAGGCACACAAAGCCGTAACTTTGGATTTGGTTTAAGTCGATGCATGTGGGCATGATATTCACATCTCAACAACTCATGAAACATTAAATAAATCTTACAGACTCCACTCTACATTTGCAACAGTTCCTTTTAGCATTTCGTAAACATTCAAAAATGTCAGTATTAGTCGTTTTTCCCTTCAACAAAAAAAAACCCAGTGGGAATCAAATCCAAAACAGGTGTGTAAGAAATCCATTTCATGACATGGTAACAGTTCTCCACTCCCTTTTTCCATAAAACAATAACACATTTCCAAAATGCATCTTTGAATTCTCACACAGTTAAAAATGAACAGTACTTTACAGTGTTAGAGTTAGTTTCTATATCATCTGGAAATAAATACATTTTGATTTGCATGTTTATAGGACTTAAATAATCCACCCATTAGAAAATACGTTTTTCCAGTGTCCTAGTTTAAAACATCGTTCAAGAGACAAAAAATAAATGTTTCATCCTTCACACATTTTCCTCAGCCTTTGTGAAATTGCTATTGTGAAATTTGAACAACAGATGGGACTGAAGATAATTTCTTTCGCGTCCTATTTTTAACACTACATTCAGAGCCAGGAGAATCTGGGATGAAGGTGGACAGTGACATAAAGAGGCTGTGGACAGTGAGTTTCCATTGTGTCTGTAATATGACTCCAGGCCAGGTGATCAGTCCTCTCCAGAGACAGGACATATTACAGATCAGTGTGGCCTGTAGACCTTAAGAAAGAAAACTGACATTTCCTTACAGAGATTAAAACGCGTCACATTATTTATCTAACCCATGGAGTGTTCAAGTTCCAGAGATGTCATTATTTCTAGATACCAATTAATTAAAAAAATGTGCCAAAGTTACTTTGATATTTTTCATCAGGCTAAGATTATATATAATTGAATTTCTTTTACTGGCAGAAATGGACTTTCATTCCATGTTGACTCACACCGGTAAAGGAAAAGGAAATGAGTCAGCATTGTGGTATAAAAAAAACAGAGTTAGGTCTACAAATAGCTGGATAATGCACTGTTGTTGCTGGGAGAAACAAGCCCCAGATCTAACTGTTGTTGTTTGTGTGCAAATACAGGCTCAGTGACAGGTTCAGGGTCCCATCTTACATACACAATGTTAGCTATGTATATGCATATAGAAACACTGTACGCTCTTCATCCATACGTGACAATCATGTGCAGTGAATCTCCGTTTACGTCCTGGGTCCTCTGTGATGTGTGTACACAGCAAACCGACACACCCAAACTAACATGAATAAAACACACACTGCTGTCTAAAATAAAGCTGTAACCCAAACATTCTCTGCTTGGCAGAAGCTGCAATAACTGAAACTGTGTGTGTATGAGTCAGAGGCTGCATGTGTGTGTTAAGAGTCATTTACAAAGCTGCAGAGAGAGCGTTTAATAAGCAACAGTGTTTCCTTTTCCAGTGTGATTTAGTGTGTTGCATCTTACTTACTTACGGACTTAAAAAAACTTGCCGACATCCAGATCCTGTAAGAGTCTTCATACAGTGCTGCACACACACACACACACATACACAAACAGCGTTATGCATTGAGCAGCTCATCTGGGGAGCGTCCGATAGCGTCAGGGTTGGAGAGGGGGTCCAGGTCGGCAAACAGGTTGAACCAGGCGGACATGTCTTTAGATGCACCTGGAGCGGCTGCACACACACACACACACACACACACACACACACACACACACACACACACACACACACACACACACACACACACACACACACACACACACACACACACACACACACACACACACACACACACACACACACACACACACACACACACACACACACACACACACACACACACACACAACACACACACACACACACACACACACACACACACACACACACACACACACACACACACACACACACACACACACACACACACACACACACACACACACACACACACACACACAACACACACACACACACACACACACACACACACACACACACACACACACACACACACACACACACACACACACACACACACACACACACACACACACACACACACACACACACACACACACACACACACACACACACACACCACACACACACACACACACACACACACACACACACACACACACACACACACACACACACACACACACACACACACACACACAAACAAGAACACACCCGTCGTTACAAGGTTTCCAAAGATAACCCGATTGGGTCCTTATTCTGCAGCTTGTACGTTATTAAATAACCAGATATAATTCATAATAGGTTGAAGTAAAAAGTGTATCTATTGCCTCTTTATATATAAACCCTGTTGTGTAACTCTGTGTTAATATATAGATTGAACGCACCGCGCTAAAGACACATTTCCCAACTATAAAGTTTACTGTACTCAGACAGGGGAGGACACAGGTTAAGAAGAAGCATACCATTGGCTGCTGGACTTGGAGCCGGCTGAGCTGATTGGCTGTGACCAGGAGGCTGCAGGGGCGGAGCTTGGAACATAGGAGGGGTTGACCAGCCTAAAACACAAAGCAGGGTTAAGAAGAGCAGTGAGAGATGTGTCAGTGAGCTGCAGTGAGCTTCTCTCTCCAGCAGAGGGCAGGGTTGCTCACCTGTGGAGCTCAGGCTGTGGTCCAGCAGCTGGGAGGGCAGGAAGCCTGTGGGGGAGGGGGGGCCCGAGGGAGGACGTGCTGCCGGACCACTACTCTCTGTCGGCCCACTACTCTCTGCCGGCCCACCAGTTGCTGCTGCGCTCTGTAGAGGGACAGTGGGGGGGTCAAAGAGCCCGAAGGCGTCCTGCCACTCCCTGCTGAACTCGTCGCTGGCCCCGGGGCCCGGGCTCAGGAGGTCTTTTAGGAAAGCCATGTCCCCCCCTTCACCATCCTCCTCTTCTGCTCTCAGCTCTGTCCCGGCAGAATGGAACGGATCACTTGAAAATGGACCCACACCTAGACAGACAGAAGAAGAGTCTTATATCTTTGAGGTAACTACATCACAGGAGATTCTGAAAGGTCACATATTTACAAGCTTGTTTCTAAGCACAGATTCAGATTGCAGAGGTTCACAGAATCAACCATAGAAAGATAAAGCCAAAAGAGAGGGCCGAAATGACAAGACAAAAGACCATAACTAACAACTGAGGGTTGATACTCTTCAAATCAGACTTTTAAGGAGCATGCTGTTCAATGAAAAGAGTCTCAGAAGTGAAGATGACAGTTTCCCCGTAGTGAAGGAAACAAAGCCCCTTGCACCAGACAGGCAGAGTGAATCCAGATCCAAAGAGCCAAAGGAAGCAGAGTTGAAATCCCATGCCACAGCCAGCAAAGTGAGATGGGAGTCAGAGTTCACAGGTGGAGGAGAGAGCAGGCCAGTTTACCGCAGGCAGGCAGCTGTGACTGGAGGCTCTCAAAGCCCCAGGGCTCACTGGGCCTCCCCCCCTGATGAGGAGGCAGGAGCTGGGGCTGCAGAGGGACGTGAGGGGGGGCTGAGGGCTGTGGCTCATCACCGGCCATGAGCATCAGGTCGTCCTCAGAGTCCGTGGACAGTCCTCTGAGAGCGGGCAGGGCAGCCGGAGGTGTGGCAGTGTGTTGGTGCGCTGAGACTAAAGGATCATAAAGCCGACAGGCGTCCAGCCCACAGTCAGCAGCAGGAATTCCAATGAACACACCTGTACTATTTACACAAGTGCTGGATATAACAATATAACAATACCGTCTGTGTAAAAGTTCTCAACACACTACAAGAAGCAAACATAAAACTGGAGTTTCTTCCCACCAAGAGCAGTGAAAGTAATCTTTTTTTTCCTGTTAAACGTTGCTGTTTAGTTTATTTTAAAGACACATAATTATGACCATGTACATTCAAGAGTGTAGAGCAGAGATGAAACATGTCAACAAATTATTAGTGATATTTGACCTCCTTAAATGCGCCTTCTGTTCACTACTACTCACTTCTCCACTTTTTTCTGCAGGATGCCCAGGCTCATTCATGATTGTACCACACTGTAAACATGTCCCTATAACTGTGTGTCTCAGCCCAGAGGTGGCAACACATACCTGAACCAGAAGCACTTCCGGATGGCTCGTCGTCATCCAAGGACACCAGACTGAGGAGGAAGGAGGAGGAAGGGAGGAGGGGGATAAATGAGAAAGTGCCTTACTAGCTGGCTAGACACGGTTTTGCTATTTTTAGCAATGCAGTAGCCTCTATTTGATTTGGAGCTGCAGTCTCTTTAGGCACAACGTTTTTAAAGCCCTCAACTACCAAACGGAGCACTATGATCATCACATGCAAAAGCGGTTTTCAACACAAGACATAAGACGGACTATACTAGATTTATTTTTACCTTGATTTATTAATGTGTTCTCTCACCTGTCTGTGTTGCTCTGTGGAGCCTTCTCCTTCTTCTTCTCAACATGTTGCTGTGCCTCTGCTAGTTCCTCCAGTGGGTCTCTCAGGTCCTGTAAAAGGGTGGAACAATTTACAATGTAATATAACAATCCATAGATGATCAGATCTATGTTGAGAGGACTGCTAAAAGGACAGTTGGTATTCACACTGTGTTGTTGCTGTCTGCAGGGAATGCAACACTCTTGAGTGTGAAGTACCTTGAGTGTGGTGAACTGGTATGGTACATGTCCTTGGAAGGCCTCGCGGATTCCTGACATGGCGTGGGCCGTCTTCTCCCAGAACTGCAGCAGAGTGGTCTGCCAAGACAGGAACGAAAGATATTCAATAGTACTGTTTCCAACCAGAATGAGTGCATATATGCAGGGTTTTTAACACCGGAAACCTTTCAAAGATAGGCAATGGACTCTTTTCCCAGTGCCAGTAGAAGAGTATGCCTTTCTGTCAATTAAGTATGGTGGCTCTGAGGGAAGCATGTATATTGTATGTTTGACGTAAATAAATTATAATAACTGTCTAAAACCCTGATGGTTTTCTTTATTATTTATTTACAGCAACACGCCGTCAAATCGGGTGGAAATGATCGTGTCCACCTGAGTGTCATGTTTACATCATAGGCAACCGGAGCTGGAGCTGACTAATACTGCCACTTCTGCAGTCATGTGTCCTGGGAATAAAAGTCTAATTTAACCCTCCACACTGAAGACACAAGTCAGATGTTAATTGGTGTTAGTGTGTTTTTGTGCAATAGTAAAGGCTTAATTGAGAAAAACAAGAAAGACAAACAAGCAGGTAGACAGATCGAGATACTGCATTCATTCTTAAAGCATACAGGTACATATTGTAATTAAAGCAGAGTCTAACAGAGATGATATGGTGTTGACAGACACACACCTGGTAGGTACAGAGGGAGTGTGAAAGCATGTTGCAGCGGCTTGCTCCCAGCATGTCCACCTTCTGACACACATCGTTCTTCAGCTTCTCAAACTGGCCCTTCGTCCCTCTGACCTGGGATTGGACCTAAAAAACAGACAAAGAGACACATAATTGATATCATTAGAGTGTCAACCAGCACCTGATACACCCAAACAAGCGTCCTTCTACCTTGCGGAACTTCTCCAGCTGCTTATATGTGTCTGGGTCGAGTTCCTGGGAGACGTCCTTCATCCAGAGCAGAGCCCCTCTGTACTCGGTGCGCGCCTTCTCCATGTGAGTGACCGTCAGCAGCGTGTCGGCGATGGCGCGCCGCCTGAACGTCTCCACTTCCTGGTGCAGGCGGTGCAGTGGCGGGCAAAGTGCCATCCTATGGAAAAAGATTAACAGAACTCATGAAATTTCTCAAAATTAAAAAGACATTCAGCATAATGTATCATGGCCAATAATAAACATGTTTTTTCACTTTCTCTGTTCATTTTTAGCCATTATTTTTAATGCTATTACTCTAGAATGCACTATATTGGCAACACTTTAACACTGGATCATTGGCTTGGTATTTCCTGCTGCTGACCTCTGCTTGGCGGAGGTGCACAGGGCCTTGCTGGTGGCGTTCATCATGTTGCCAGCCTTTGTGCGATCGTTTTCCGCCTGGAAACGCAGGAACAGGCCGAGCTCGTTCTCCTCCTGAGACAGACCTGGGAAAAGAGATCAAAGTCCCTCATGTACACAAAGGAGACACATCTTGCCTTCCTCATACCACGACCGTGCTAGAAAGAATATCACTAACACTGTAACAACTTATTTGAGTTTAAAAAACAGGCTTATTAGTTTGTAAAAAACCCTCTATCCAACCATTTATAGCTTAAGTGTTAGACAAAAGCATCGTACAGGAAGGAACACAATCATAAACACATCATCTTGTATAAGGGAAAGAATGATACAGCCTGTAATAAATAGCTCCTACTGTTGTGCAGTGAAGTGATGTAATGTTATACGTTTAGTTTGACTCACGTGTGATCCTGTGCTGGTACTTCTCAATCACCTTCAGCAGCTCTGTGCATGTCAACTGAACCGAGCGGAAGAACTGTAGAAGAAAATCATGCCAGGTTCAAATACATCCTCAACACCTTTCTTTAGAACACCTTTAAGAACCTTGTTGTTGGTTTTCTGTCCACTTATTTCAAGACTTTATTTTGCAGTGTTAACACAACATATTTTGCTCTCTCTTGCTTTCTGCCTGGCAGTCAGATGCCTCTCCTCCGATCTGCCAGATGTATGCTTGTGCGTCATAGCAACACAGATTTAGAGGTCACTCTATACTGCTCTCTGACAGAAAGCAATGCACCCACAATGCAACACAAGGATATACGTCATGATTGGAATGATTTGAAAGAGATCAGGCTAGGACATCTTAATAAAGTTTCAGTTGGGGATTCAGCTGGAAGAACATAATGCAATATTGTGTGAGTCTGAAATTGAGATTCATACAGCAGGGTTCTCGGGGACATGATAATGAATAGAGGCAGCGTGGAGAACTAACCACTTGGGCTGCTCCATTTATATTAGCATGGGATTGCCAAAGAAAATAATTAGATTATCTTTTAGTCACAGTCATTGCCCACTTGTGAAATCTTTTGAATACTTCTATATTTTATAAAGCCATCCATGCCTGCCTCTTCAGGTGTGAGACTGTAGACTGAGAGCAGAGGGAGGAGGTGACTTTTACGTGAAGTTACTGATTAACTTTAGAATAAACACTCACTGCCTTCTTTCCGTTTGCCTCAGCAGTGTCAGATCCCTGCCTGTGTACAGGTCACTGCTCCTGAACAGCACACCTCTTATATGTTGTATTACTAAGACGACCAATACTGATTGATTCATCAAGATCATGTTGGTCTCATGCCATCTGCTCTGTCTGACTCACAGCAATATGGCAGGGGAAAACCAGAAGCAGATGGAAATAAACATCCACGCATGGCTTCGTGCAAATACACTTCGATACATCAGTTCTGTTTTTCTACTTGAGATTTTGTCAGAAAAAGACAGTGATGAAATATAACAAAAAAACAATCCAATGTGGATAAATTAACTTAAAACTGGATGAAATTTATAATGGTACTGATGCTGGAAAGATTCAAAATTGACTTAATAAGATCTGATGTTTCCTTATCTGACGTGACCTTATATCTGTGTAAATCTTATTAAAACTGTGTCTTATCTAATGGTGACAGTCATACTCTGAAAAATGAAATAATGGATAAAATCGGATATGATCAAATCTAAATGATAGTAGCTTGCAGATCACTGAAATGTAAAACCTGATTAAATCAAGTTAGGGCATGGGAATCAGCAGAGCTAAAATGCAACAAGACAGGTTGGCAAAAGATTATCTGAATCTACTCTTTGTAAATGATCTTTAAACACTTTCCCCTCTTTTCTGTCTTTGTCTCAGCGGGGATAGATGGAGGGACAATGATTTCAGGAGGACAGTAGAGGCCTGATCTTGTTCCTGAGCGAACAAAAGCCTCACAGTGCATCCCTTAGCAGCTCAGTGAAACTCTAGCACATTGCAGACAGTTATACAACTAAATGTCAGCCAATCAAAACTACCAGCTCTCATTCCTTGCAGTGATGTGAAGCGACTGCAGAGGATCAGACTGTAGAGCTGTACATAACGTTCAGAGCTGTGATGTACTGTCAGACATCTCACCTGTAATTACAACCCTTATATCCAGACATCAAGAAAACATCTCTGCAAACAATGGACCCCTTGTGCCACTGATGTTCTAAAACCTCTCTTTGTAATCCTACTGCCGATACATTATCCCTCACAATGACACACAATACAAACTGGTAAACAATATCTACATGTTATTTACAATTATAACATGTAGATATTGGTAACCCTCCCCCCCCCCCTACCTCCAGCTTGGCGTCCAGGTCAGCGTCTGAGGCCACCACGTACTCGTCCTCCTTCTTGCCCGTGGCTTTGATGAGGACCTGCTTAGTCTTCCAGAACTTCTTCTGCATGCGAGCCATCACCGAGCTGTCCTCGCCGAGCAGGGCCCGGCCCCCGCTCAGAATGTCCCCCGCAAACCTGGAGCACACACACTTCAGTCAGCTGCTCTTATAACAACAGTGTTTAATACAGTAATTATGATCATTATAATAATGGCACTGGCTAGAGTCAACAATGATGTAAATATGAATTTTACACTTACCCGTCCATGATTGAATATCAACCTTTGTCAGTTCTGAAAAATAAAATAAATAGAAATGTTGTTTTGTTTAAATATTAACCCAAAAGAAGTAATCAACAGGTCTTGGTTCAAAATAAATGCATTGATGTTCTGTTCCTCCTTCATTAAACATGTTTTGCATTTTAACTCTTATGCCGCTTGTATCTTGCCTAAGGATAGCAGTAGGATTTAAATGGATTTTTAGTATAGAGTAAACTAGTAGCTGAAGTCCATTGTGTTTCCTCTTCCTCACACAGAAAGCAATGGTCAGGCATATAGACTGAAGGTGTTGTGTAAATCTAACTAATATAATATAATGATAGAGACAGTCACACTGAGAAATAACTGCTGCTGGGTTCCCTGTAGATGTTTGCTGGGATACATTCAACAGCAAGCATGTAAACAGAGCTGACAGCTGTTCCCCTACTGAATTATAATCGAGTTATAAGCGGTTATCATAGAGTGTTATCTGTGACTGCACAAAAAACCCTCGGTGCTGAAGGCTAAAAAGCTAATCTAATATGGTTTATCCAGCAGAGACCAGACACCTGTGCTTTTCGGAGTGAGGAGAATTGAGAGCCAGCTGGCTGTGGAGCAGGTGTTCAGTTACATGAAAGGCTGCCTTGAAACACACAATAAGAAAGATAAGGCGTGTGTCATTCGACCATTTTTATCGACAGTGTAAATACAAGGTGTAAAAGTAAAAATAAATGTAACGGTAGTCGAGAAAAGCCAGCCGAAAACGGCTTGTTTGCTAGCAGCAGTTTAGCTCCTAGCTAATGCAGTTGTAGGAACAGTAATGCTGATAGAACATTTTACATTATAACGAGATATACAAACATTACGGTTATTATATTATGGTCAGATAATTTAAAAGGTGAATTTACCTTTACCTTGCTTTTAGTTTTGTCCAGCAGTCCGAGCATCTATGCAGCTCAGCTCGGCTAGCCTCCTCTGCCGATAGCCGTCATAATGAGTCAGAGAAACAGGATATGCAAAGCAGCTGTAGCGCTGATTGGACACCAGAGGGCGCTGCTGTACAGGCCCATAGACTGTATACATTAATAGACGGGCCACAAAAAAGATTGTCTGTTGCCAAGTAGGCATTCACGGCTAATAACTTACTGAAATACAATGTGTACTACTACACGGACTAATAATAAGCAGTTACAATATTTCTACCTAGATTGAATGTGTTGCAGTTCCACTAGTTTAAAAGGAGAGGGAAGATAACATGTCAGTATAAAGAACACTTTGGTCAGGTCAACCCCCAGTCACCCTGCTTTAACATTATGGTACAAAAAGACCAATCATAGTGATACCTCTTCTTTTTAACGCCTATCTGGTCATGTTCAAATGTTGCCTCCCAATATAATAGTAAAATGACTGTTCTCCACTGGTGGAAGAAGTACTCAATTTACACAGTTAAAGTAGCAATAACAGTGTAAACAAATACTTCAAAGTTCTGCATTTAGAATCCTACTCAAGTACAGGTCAAAAGTAATATCAAAATTAACTTTAAGTACCAAAGGTAAAGTACTCATATATTTGACCTATTTTAGAATACCTAACATTACTGTATTATAATTATTGACATTAATGTTTTTGTCATTTGTTGCAGCTGCTAAAGGTTCAAATTACTCGATAAACTGATGGGTATTCAAATATTAATAATAATTGGTCATTGCCATTAAATCACTATTGTGTTTTATGAATCTCTAAAGTCCCTTCAACTAATTGCCAACTTCAAATTATCACATCTACTACCAAGCACTAATTAATGAAACATTAAATAGAAGAGACATTTCAGGAGACACAATTAATTTATACTTTTTTGGGATTACAGGAAAACAAAGACAATCCATAAGAAAATATGTGTAAAAGTTTAGAAGGGTAAAAATAACAGGACCAAGACAGCAGAGAAACCAGGCAAGGATAGTTTTGTACTGTACACAATTCAAAAGCACTGCCGCTTCCATCTGCGTGTCACAACACAGATACTGTCCATCATTCTGTCATCATGTCTGTGTCCATGCTGTTCATCCTATGCCCCCGCATCCGTCTGAACACCAGAATATTTGTAGGTGTACAGCTTGTTATCTGCACCTCCGCTCAGCATCAGCTGAAACAAAACACATACAAGAAACTGTAAGTTACACGTTGCTGGATTGAGTTGAACTTAAATATTTGAAGTTGCTGCACATATTCCTTTGTGGTTATATTTGTGAAAAACAGTCTTACCCCACTTTCTGTCCAGTCCACACAAAACACTTTGTCCTCGTGAGCAGCCAAGTCATACAGAGGAGCCTTACAGCTGGAAGACATGAGCATTTGAAAGTTAACTTAATTCACTGAATTACTTTAACACTGAGGTTTAACTGAGACCCACTAAAAGGACAAATATTTATACCAAAATCATAAAAAAGACAGTGTATGCTTAAGAAAGTTTTAATGAACTGACAAAGTATTTAATTCTAACAAAGACAGGAAGCCTTTCCAGACAGAAAGCTTACTCTCACACGCGTGGAATGAACAGGATTTCCTGCTCTACGTGTCTGCACGAGTAACCTTTCATACTCAAAAAGTATGGACCATGATCCAGCCTGTGCTCTGATTGGCTGCTGAAGGTGATATGAAGGTTGAAATTGTCTTGATTTAGCAAAAAAAGAACTGGAACTTATTAAGTGGGTAGTTAAATGATCAGTTGCAAACATTTAGTGCTGCCCTGAGAAGCCCACTTCAAAAACACATACTTTTCATTATCTTAAAAAAAAAAATACAGCCCTGTTTCCAGCTTTAAGATAACACAATGCTGGCAGGTTTCTTGCATAATGTTATTTTAGGATGGAAACTTTTAACAGACTTTGGATTTAACCAAAGAAGTATACAGTGCATCACAGACCTTCTGGTGTCCCAAAGTTTGACCAGGTTGTCAAGGGAACCGGAGACCAGCTGGTGCTCATGTGCTGGTGCCCACTTCACCGAGGTGACCCAGCCGGTGTGAGAGGTCAGAGACAGCAGCACCAGAGAGCCGTCTGCAGGGGAGGAGGGGGGGGCGTTAAAAACAGGCAGAGGAAAAGCCAGAACAGTGCTTATAAAAGCTGAATAAATGATGCTGCTAAAAGTGCTTTGATTGTGATGTATAGGGGATGCAGGCAAAATGACATTAGGCTTTGAGAGGTGTGGGGTAGGTAGCGGTACCTTTGGTGCGGGGGTCCCACAGCCTGATGTGTCTGTCAGTGCTGCCGGAGGCCAGCCGCCGACACAGAGGTGAGTAGGAAATACTGTTAAACACTTTGCTGCCCGTCTGCGGAAAAACAAAAAACATCAGTCAGTTTATTATGGGATTGACAAACTAAAAACGGTTTGAATAAAGTTTCTGCTCGTCTCTGTGTTTCTCACCAGCGTAGTCTTCATCTCTCCCGTCTCGACGTCCCACACACGGATGGTGTGGTCCCATGATGCACTGCAAACTTCCTCACTGTCGCACCACAGGACGGAGGACACGGCCTCGTTGTGTCCAGATAACGTCATGATGGGAGTCTGTCAGTGGGAGGAAATGGGAACCTCAGTTTGTTGTTCATATTCAACAATTCAATACTTAATTTTTTGGCTCTTGGATCACACACCCTGGTGAGGCCGAGCTGTTGAGTCTTCTGTTTCTTCCTCGGTCTGTCGGCAGGCTCTTCTACTTCGTCCGCCTCATCTGTTGGCACTGAGGGAGATATTTAGCTTGTTGAATGTTTGCTTTTTAATCAGTTGTGCAAAATTAAAAAAGGCAGACATGCTGGCATCCTACCTGCTGACCAAATCTTCAACATTTTGTCCCAGGAGCCACTGCAGAACTGAAACAAAAATGTTGCATTTATAAAGATATTCTTCTCCCTGTGCATTTAACCATTGCCCATCCCTCTCTACCTTTGAGCCGGTGGGGTCTGTTGCTACAGTGTCCACGCTCCCTGTGTGTCCCCGGCAGCAGTGTATGGCTTTCACCTTGTTCCTCTCAGAGTTCCACTCCCAGAGCAGCAGGGTTTGGTCCAGAGAGGCCGTCAGAAGCAGGGAGTTGAGACCATCTGCACAGAAACGTCCACACAGATGTTTTAAGAGAGGCTGTCTTTATAACAAGCAGAGTGAATGTCTGCCACCCTGTCCTGCTCACCTCTTTTGACCCAGGCCACGTCTTTAACCACGTCTGTGTGTCCGGCCACCGTCATCACTGGCTTGCCCTCCAGGGACCAGATCTTGGCTGTCTTGTCGTATGATCCTGTAAGGATCCTGCAACAAAAAAAATGAACGCAAGCTAAACAAACTTGTTTGGGAAAAATGCCCTTCTTTGACAGTCTGCAGTCTATCATCTTACCATTCAGCATCTGCATCCACAGCGCTAATCCAGTCATCGTGCATCATGCACTCCTCGGGTTCTGGTGCTGTGATCCTCTCAACATACTCTATCTCCACCACATCTTCCTGAAACACACACAGACACACTGATGCATAAATATCAAATGTGTTCCCAGACAGTTCAGTCACAATTTGTACATCCACCAAACAACTATTTCTCATGGCAAAACAGGACACTGGAATAATTCAGTGCCATGAATGTTAGAGGCAGACGTCATATCCCCTCAGTGAGGCTGATCCTACCGTTGATATGCCCTCTGTGTCCATGTGAGTGGACAGCGACGTTCGCAGGAACTGGCCCCTGACCAAGAAGTCGAACTCCACTTTGCTGTGAGATGCTGTGGAAACAAAAAACAACATGTTATTCACTCAATATATCACCAATATTTGTGATAGTGTACAGGGATTTAGTGAACCATTATATTTAAGTAAGGCTCAGTATAAACAATAGAAAGGACAAGTTATACATAAACAGAAGATTTGTTTAGTACAAGATGAAGACAATAATCTAAGAAATCAATGCGTAAGATAATACAAGGGAGACTTTATGTTCAGTAATACCTCTGATATTAACTTAGCTTTGACACACAGCAGGGAAACAGTGGGCCAGAAATATTAAAACATTCTTGTTAATGTTAAAGTAGAGTGTGTTTTCTTACCATTTCTAGCCTCCAGCAGCTTGTTGATGACATTGCTGAGGTCTAACACCTCAGAGGCAGCAGGGATGGAGAATGGGACATCATCTACTGCATACCTATAAACAAAGGTTACACCCATTAAACACACATTTTATACTCTTTTTATGTCATATAAGCTGATGTAAAACGTATATTCAAATATAAGGACAGCAATCAATCATATATTGGGAATGTTAGCATTAGCTAGCTAAACCAACAAACTCACAGCTAGGAAATATTAAGAGGCTAATAGTTTAAAAAAGGCTAAGATAAAATGTACAGTACAAATGTTTATTAAAATGCAGTGCAATGATTCACATTCATTTTTGTACTGTTTACAGTTACAGCTTGTTAGCCAGCCTGCTAGCCGTAACTGTGTTTTTCAGTTTTCTTGTTTCGTTAAAGAGAATACAAGCTCACCTTTTGTCCTCCGTGAAGAACCTCGTTTGTAACTGCGACATTTTTTTGTTTTATATTTCTCTTACAGTCCAATAGTAATTTAAATGTAGGATATGTTTAAGTATTTAATCTGCTCCTTCATAACATATCTGACTCTCGTGCAGTCCTGCCATGTGGTACGAAAGCAAGACACCTCAGCAGAGCACAGATGCAGACAATCGATGATGCGGATCTATGCTGCTCTACTAGCAATGCCTGCTGCTGCTGCTTCTTCTTCTATTATTTTTAACGGCAGATTTGAATCCATGACGTTTCATTACTGCCCTCTTACGGTGCTATTCACTTCCTACAGCATCCACCGGCTCTGCTTTATAACAAATATCACACAGATCTTAAAGGTCCCTGGGCCATGACATGTCATGGCCATTTCTACTGATCATAATTCCATTGTTGAGGTCTACTAGAATAGATTTACATTGTTCAATGTTCCAAAATCA